CTCTTGCATTATCAAGAGTCTTAACTCTTGATAATGCACCAAGGCAATAAAAGCTCTCGTCTCTATGGATAAAAAATTTCAAGCTTGACCACAGCCCGGCCTGTTGGTTGGACCCGGACCGCCCCAGAACCAACCTGTGGTTTGATCGGGCTGGTTTCGAGCCACAAATTTTTAATTTTCGATCCCTGGGTTGATCCGAATCAGAACCGGAACCGAAACCAGCAGTTCAACTCTTGTTCTGAAAAAAAATATAAAATTTTTATTTTTGTTAATTGAATCGGGCTGCCCTGAGACCTCCGGTTCATGTAACTGGCTGGAACTACTGGTTCACTGAAGCGGCCCGTGCATATGTTCGGATCGGTTCAGGGCCTTCTAACCCTCGACCCGGAACCGGAAAATGGCCATGTCTAGGTCTAATAGGCCCAAGTCGACCCAATATTCTAATATTGCTTGCCTAGAAATTTCGGAGTTCATAGTCCAACTTATAGTGAGTCGTAATTTTGTGCTTCATAATTCTATGTGATGTGCAATTCCTTCACGAACCGCTCTTCTATAACCTCGAACCGGTTTGATATCCGAAGTAACCTGCAAAACACATCGAGGGTGTTTCTAGCGGTAAACCTCCGAATCAAGTCAATTCTCGAAATGAAAAAGTATAAAGTGTGTAAGTATATTGTAAAGTTTAGAGTTAGTAACCTTATCATTTCAAACATGAGACCTATATAGTATATATAGTAATCATTTGCCTTGTTGCCCAAAATCTGCCCAATTCTACTACCCAAGGACCTAATTGTCCGAAGGTCTGCATGATCCTATTGCCCGGGTGCCCTGGCTGCCCGACGGTTATCTTGTTGCCCCAAGGTCCCTCCGAGACCCATGCATATCTCTAAGATGATCTAATCCTTCTTTAATAACCTTCCATGTCATCCCTAAGTGAGCTATTCCTTAGGTCCCTGATTTATAATATCGTCTATAGGTCCGCATGCATAAATTGTTTATAGGTCTTTAATAGTGAAATAGACTTCACTTGGGCTCCTTCTACCTCGGACGGCCTCCGTACATTCAAGAACTCAACGTCGGGAGGGGTCCCATGATCTATTTGTGGTATGTTAGAGTAGCTCATGATCTAAATTTTTATTTTAAGTTTATTAGTAGCTCATGGAAGATCCATCGATTGTTCCCGCGGAAGACAACGATACACGAAGGCGTATGGAGTCGGATATTTGGCGTGCAATGATTTCTTGTGATAATTCTCATAGTTAACGGACTAGACTGACATACTCTATAATGTTTGAAGTCGGATTAAGGCGTCCAAAGAATTATGGAATTCTTTAGAAACAAAGTACAAAACGAAAAACACTAGAATTAAGAAGTTTTTCATGGTAAATTCCTTGTGTACAATTTTTATTTTTTTATTTTTTTTATTTTTTTTGTCGAAGAATTGAATGTGAACGAAACATTTCAAGTGGCGACAATTGTCAAAAAGTTGCCTTTTTGTGGAAGGACTTCAAGAGTCATCTCCTGCATAAAAGCAAGCAAATAGATGAAACTTAATTTGATCGTTCGACTTTGACTTCGGATAGAAGAAGATAAACGAAAATCTGAAGTATTGGTCAAATGGAGCAAGATAGCACAAAGGCAAATCGTAAGAAGCGTAAAATTGCATCTAAGGCAAACCAAACTGAAACGCCATGAGGGTTGCTATGATGGTGACAAATCCGAGTACCTTGTAAAATACCACTAACATCTGAAGAGGGGTAGGAGGATCCTGCGAAATGTGCTAAATGTCAAGGACAAGACCAGACTTGTGAGAGCTCCATCTTTTCATCATGGTCCAAGTATTTCGTTGATTAAAAATCCACATTACTTGATTGTGAAGATGTCGCATTCAGCAGTCAGCACTTTTGTTAAATTCTTTTTAATAAGTTGTATGCGATAAATAATGCGTTCATTTAGGAAATTATAACAATGTATATTGTTACCATAAAAAAACAGGAAACCATCAATCAACTCATCATGAAATACTGTTCTGCAACTCCAGTTCAACCAAAGAGGATTACGGATGTAATATAAAAAACACGAGTCTGGTAATAATGCTCGTAAACCGGCAAACAAAATCATCAATTAACTTAACTCATCGACCAGAAATTAAATCAAGAGGTTCGGGACAGGATTTGATTACCTCGATAAATGTCCAAAAGTTCGGGAACATCCTTCTCGTACTTCTCGACATAGTTCTTCAAGAAAGTCTTCTCAGACACTGTGAGCAAGGACGTGACAGCCACATTCTTCAGCCCCTTCTCACTCAAAACCGTAGCAACTGCCCACCTCGGCTTCATTCTCTTTTCGACGCTGTACCGAAGAAGCAAAGGGCACCGAGCCACGTCACCTGGTGAACACCCTAATTTATCGACAAGAAAACCCATACTCTTCAATATCTTCTTCTCGGACAAGGCCATACAAAGCGGCTGATTCAGAAAGGCGGTCCTGATGTCGGATTCCGACCAGCCGCACTTTCTATAAACCGCCATCTTACGCTTAAGGGTCGACTCATTCAAACCCATCAAAACCCGAATGGCCATCAGAAATGTCTTTTTGGTCACGTCAAACCCCATTTCTATTGCTCGACCCATGCACGAGGATAACTTCTCCTGAGAAACCACGAGCATTGCTGGGTAGGTCGTGAACAGTGACACGAGAGATGGCTGAGGGACCCCGCAGGCCACAAGAAACGAGAAGTTGGATGAGAGGTTACCTGGCTGGCCCCAGTGGAAGAACTGGGGAGCCCTTTTAAAGACTTGAACGGCACCCTCATCCGACCCGAACAGGTTTTTCAGGAAATCGCATAAGGGGATGATTGAGTTCTCAAGGTTGCGCCATAAGATGCCAGGGTAGAGGGACAGCCTGTTGGCCAAGATGGGGAGGGGGACGCCAATGGAGGCGAAAAACTCAAGCTTGGGCAAAAGGGTTTGGTCTGGGCAGGCAGAGAGTACTTTCGGAAACCGGGTGACCATTACAGAGATGTGGGCGGGCGTGAATCCGTACTCTCTCAGGAGATTCAAGACAGCGTCTGGTTTTTCAGGCGATTTCAGCTGGACTTTACTGGAGGCGCGGACGGCGACGTCTGGAGCCAACCCGCATGAGCTGACGAGGTAGGATAAAGTGAAGGATTTCTCTGGGTCATTTTCGCGAACACCTGGCGGTAGTCTCCCGGTGGTGAAAGACCTGAAAAATACTGCATTTTCAGCAGTCCGAAATTGAGGGGCGGCGAAAATAGAGAGCTCCGGTGGGAGCCTGAGTCGTCTGCCACGGAAAATGGCGAACATCGATTCGAAATCCGATTTCGAATTCAACGGACTTGGTGAGCTGACGAGGGTTTGAAGATGTGTATCGGTATTTGCAGTCTTTTTCGGCGATTTAGAGGGAAGCGTGATATTTTTGAGGTAAGTGAATATATCGTGTTTGACAATCAGCACTTTTTGTGTTCAAATTGATTTACCTTATAAATATTTTGTTCTATGTATTCTTTCTCCTTGTAATTATGTATTTTATAATTATATAAAAATGAATGTCGATTTGTCGTGTTGTGTTAGATTAGAGTAGCCCTGTAATTTTTTTTTATTGTATCTATTAAAAATTTTAAAAATTATAAACCACGTGATTAACTCAAGATATAAATATCTATTAAAAATTATTATATTTAGTTTTTTTTATCAGTTTTCATATATTAATAAAAAATAAATATCTATTAATATTAATTAAAGTAATAAAATAATTTATCAGTTAAATAAATTTATTTGTAAATTTGTTATATGATATGGATTAAAAAATCTATCATTATATAAAAAGAATAACTTTTTTACAAATTTAGAAACTTTTTCCCGCCAAAATCATTAAATATATCCTACATATAATAATTGTTGGACAAATCTGAATAAGCAAAAAAATCGGCTCATTAATTATGTAAAGTTTTGTTTCTTTTTCCTTTTTTTAGTTTATAAAACCGTTGTTTGACAATAAATATTTATTTTTCTTTTTCCTATTTTTAGTATAAATCTACACGAGCTTATTTCTTTTGTTACAAAATCTCATTGCATAAGTCCCACGTCTCATCCCTTATCTATAGAGATTTGAAAAAATAAAATAAAATAGAAACGAATTCATAATTACTACTAGAAATCTATTATCTACTGTAAGAAGCTAATTTTTATCGGTCTAATTACTAATATTTTACAAATATTATAAGCTAACCATACAAAAAAGTATAATAATAATTTTGAAATGGTGTGTAATCAAATTTTTTTATATTCTCTTATACAAAATAATTCTATATTGACCCCGAATCTTTAATTTATAATTATTAAGTATTGTTTATCCTCATCTTTAATTTATATTTTTTTTCTTCCTCTTTTTAAATAGGATCAATAGTAGTTTCCACTTCCGCCATTGAGTGACTCAAACTTGAAGTCTATTTATATTATTGTTAATTTAATATTGTTCTCATGCATCGCACGGGGTACACACTAGTTATTATAAATGTATGATGATTAAACGTACAGGTAAGACATGTCATTCTAAAAAATAAATAATAATGCATTTAATAAAAACGTATTTGAAAAATAAAATAAACACTTATCGCTTTTAAAAAATAAATAAATATATTTGCCAAAAATAAATAAATAAATATGAAATTCATAAGTCAAAAATATCACATGTATAATTACAGACCAGGGTGGCTCATTCGAGAGATACTGTATATTTTTCATTTTCAAGTGTTGGTCGTTGCACTTTCTATATTACATGACAAATTCGTGTTGTCATTGGCATATTAATAAATCAACTTTCTACAATTATCATTTGCTTAAGTTATTGCATGCATTGAAAAAATTTATTCATAATTTTTGTCTTTTACATAATCGTTTCTTTGAAATATGTGATGAATGTTGTATGTGTAAGAAAACTTGGTTTTTTACCTGTAAATGAAAAGACTTAGAAAAATTAATACTAATATAAGGTGAATGAGAAATTAATATAGGTGAAAAAATATAAGTTTGAAACAAAAAATTAAGTTTAAGTGACTAAAAATTTGTTAAATTCACAAACATTTGGTATTTGACATATACTCAGGCAAACCTAACAAGTAAAAATAATGCCATGAGTACTGCTAGAACTCTAATAGTGTTTAATTGGGACAAGTAGGAAAAATATTGGGCACCATTTGAAGTCCGGATGAGCGCGTACGGGCTCACGACACGTGGGCGTTGCAACTGGCTCCATTGCGGCCCACAATATCTGCTTGCATCCGCGACCAATTTTCAACTGTCGAGGGCGACACTTGTGTGACCCACGATGGGTCGTGTCCCCTGGTGTGTCCGTAGGTTGTCCTTTGACTTTCGAGTGCGTCAATTCTCGTCCGAGCATGTCCCAAATGTTATGTTTTTAACACTTAAACCTCTTGTGGGGGTTTCATACATCTATAAATACTCTCATGCATGAATCATTCAATGCACTTGCAATTAAAGAGCTCTTACATTACATTTTTTAAAGTTCATATAGCATATTGTGTTATTTAATTTTTCATTTAGTATTAACAATTTCAAATATCAGTACTTGTTCGTCGAAATCTTATGTATTTCAAGTATGTAATATACAAGTCAAAAGTTGTACGACTACCGCTAACCGTGAGTTTTTTTTAAAGTAATTTCATTTTAAATAAAACATAATTACTACGTACCTCGACTTTCATTTTTGCTTCTATTTTTTTTTCATCATCCCTAAGTCATTTTCTTGAATTTCACATACCAATTACAATCCAATAACAATCTTAGGACGAAATTTGGGGAGTTCATAATATATCAACCGAAGAAAACCAAATGGTTCTTCAAGTGCGAGGTCGAGTGCTACACTGACTATCATTCAAACACTCAAATGGCAGCCAGCCTCGTCCGGCAAAGGACCGCCAAAATTCAGCACATCTTAAAATATTTTAAGAAGTGATAACAAAATGTGTTATTTTATTGCACCACCCTTTTTCTTTCCCGTTTCCTCATGAAAGATCTTTCTTCATTCCCATGGAAGTCAACACTACACAAAGGCGTATGTAGCTGGATGTTTGGCGTATAATGATTTCATGTGTAGAAGTCTCATACTTAACGGACTAGACAACATACTCTATAATGTGTAAATTCCGGTTACGAGACGTCCAAACAATTATGGAATTCTTAACAAAGTACAAAACGAAAAGCATTAGAATTAAGAAGTTTTTTATGGTAAATCCCTTGTGTACGAATTTTTTTGGCCGAGAAATTGATAGTGAACGAAGCATTTCAAGTGGCAACAATTGTCGAAAAATTCTCCTTCACAAAGGACTTCAAGAGTTATCTCATGCATAGATGAAACTTGAGGATTTGATTGTTCAACTTCGAATAGAAGTAGACAATCGAAAATTTGAAGTATTGGTCAAATGAACTAAAGGCAAAGGCACCCCAAACTAAAATGCCAAGAAATATAAAGGGGTTGTTATGATGGTGACAAATATGGGTACGTTGTCAAATACTACTAATTTCTCCGTAAAAGATAGTGCAAAATGTCACGGACAAGATTAGACTTATCAGAACTCGATCTTTCCTTCGTTGTTTGAGTATTTAGTCGATTAAAAATCCATGTTACAAGATGCCACTATTAATAAGTTGTATGTGACAAATAATACGTTCATTTAGGAAATTATACCAATTTATATATCGTTCCATTGACTGGTTTTGAGTAATAATAAACCAGAGTTGATATGTACGTGGAAATCAAACATCGGTTTACTTAATTTCCCTCATGGCCTTTGACAGATTTAGCGGCTCATAAGATGGTTAACTTTTTCCTTGATTTTGAGCCTGAGTACAAGGACATTGTACTATGCTCCAACTCTAAGCATGATTGTCAAAGTTGTGAGAAAATCCAAATAGGCTTGGGCTTCAGAAAATACTTCAAAAGATTGTGAAGAAAAATAACATCTGGCTATGAAACACAATTTACTTCTCATACTAGTGTGTATATTGCAACAAACACAAAACCATCAATCAACTCATCAAATATTGTTCTGCAACTCCAGTTCAACCGAAGAGGATTACGGATGTAACATAAAAAAACATGATTATGGAACTAATGCTCCTAAGCCGGCAAAGAGAATCATTGATTAACTTAACTCATTGACCAGAAATCAATTCAAGAGGTGCACGCCAGGATTTTGTTACCTCGATAAATGTCCAAAAGTTCGGGAACATCCTTCTCGTATTTCTCAATATAGGTCTTCAAGAAAATCTTCTCGGACATTGTCAGCAGGGACGTGATAGCCACATTCTTCAGCCCCTTTTCATTCAAAACCTCAGCAACTGCCCACCTCGGCTTCATTCTCCTTTCGAGGCTGTACCCGAGAATCCAAGAGCACCGGGCCACGTCATCTGGTGCCCACCCCTAATTTATCGACCAGAAAACCCATACTCGCCAAAATCTTCTTCTGGGACAAGGCCATACAGAGCGGCTGACTCAGAAAGGCGGTCCTGATGTCATATTCCGACCAGCCGCACTTTCTATAAACCTCCATCTTGCGCTTAAGGGTCAACTCATCAAAACCCACCAAAACCCGAATGGCCTTCAAAAACGCATTATTGGACACGTCAAACCCCATTTCTATTGCACGATCCATGCACGAGGATAACTTCTGCTGAGGAGCCAAGAACATTCTTGGCTCGTATGTGACCAGTGATACGAGAGAGGGCCAGGGGATCCCGCGGGCTGCTAGAAACGAGAGGTTGGACGAGAGGTAGTCGACCCGGCCCCAGCGGAAGAACTGGGGAGTCCGTTTAAATACTTTAACGACCCCCTCATCTGACCCGAACAGGTTTTTCAGGAAATCGTAAAAGGGGATGATTGAGTTCTCAAGGCTGCGCCATAAGATGGAAGGGTTCCGGGACAGCCTGCTGGCCAGGATGGGGAGGGGGACGCCAATGGAGGCGAAAAACTCAAGCTTGGGCAAAAGGGTTTGGTCTGGGCAGGCAGAGAGTACGTTCGGAAACCGGGTGACCATTACAGAGATGTCGGTGGCCGTGAATCCGTACTCTCTGAGGAAATTCAAGATAGCGTCTGGTTTTTCAGGCGATTTCAGCTGGAGTTTACTGGAGGCGCGGACGGCGTCGTCCGGAGCCAACCCGCATGAGCTGACGAGGTAGGACAAGGTGAAGGATTTCTTACAGTCATTTTCGCGAACACCTGGCGGTGATCTCCCGGTGGTGAACGGTCTGGAGAAGACTGCATTTTCAGAAATCCGAAATTGAGGGGTGGTAAAAATAGAGAGATCCGGTGGCAGCCTGAGTCGTCTGCTACGGAAAATGGCGAACATCGATTCGAAATCCGATTTTAAATTCAACGGACTTGGTGAGCTGACGAGGGTTTGAAGATGTGTATCGGTATTTGCAGTCTTCTTCGGCGATTTAGAGGGAAGCGTGAAAATTTCTGAGGTAAGTGAATATATCGCGTTTGACAATCAGCACTTTTTGTGTTCCAATTTGATTTACCTTATAAATATTTTGTTCACTGTTTTATTTTTCCTCTTTAGCATTATCGACTCTTAGTTGTAATTATGTGTTTTATAATTCTATATATTGAATATTGTGTTCTACTTTTATATGCCGATTTGTCATGTTGTGTTAGATTAGAGTAGTCCTGTATATTTAAATTTTTATTTAAGTCTATTAAAATTTTAAATATTATAAAATACATGATTAACTCAAGTTATAAATATATTTTAAAAATTATTATAGTATTTGGTATAAGTTTTCATGTATTCATAAAAAATAAAATATTTATTAATTAAAAGTAATAAAATAGTATATCAGTTAAAAAAAATTTATCTGTAAATTTGATATATGATATGGATTTAAAAATTATTGTATGATGATTAAATTGTACAGTTAACACATGTCATTTTTAAAAATAAATAAAATGTATTTAATAAAAACGTATTTAAAAAATAAAACAAACACTTCTCTCTTTTAAAAACTAAAAAAATATAAAATTCATAAGTCAGAACTGTCACATGTATGTATAATTACACAGGTGACCAGAGTGGCTCATTCGAGAGACGCTGTATGTTTTTCATTTTCAACTTTCAAGTGTTGGTCGTTGAACTTTCTAGATTCCAGGACAAATCCGTGTTGTCGTCCTATTATTAAATCAACTTTCTACAATTATCATTTGTTTCAATTATTGTATGCATTGAAAACTTTTATTCATATTTTTTGTCTGTGATCGTTTGTTCGAAATATGTGATGTTGTATGTGTAAGAAAACCTGGTTTTGTACCTATAAATGAAAGACTTAGAAAATTCTAAAAGTAATATAAAGTGAATGGGATATTAATATAGGTGAAAACATGTAAGTTCGAAACAAAAAATCTTGAGTCTAAGTAACTAAAAATTTGTTAAATTCGCAAACATTTGGTATTTGACGTGTACTCGGGCAAACCTAACGAGTTATAATAATGCCATGAGCATGCTAGAACTCTAATAAGGTTTAATTGGGACAAGTAGGAAAAAAAATTGGGTACCATTTGGAGTCCGGATGAGCTCGTATGGGCTCACGGCATGTGAGCGTACAATTGGCATCGCGGCTCGCGATACCTGCTCCGCTGCTCGCATCTGCGGCCAATTTTCAACTATCGAGCGTGATACTTGTCATGACCCACGATGGTTCGCGTTCCTGGTGTCCGTTAGTTGTCCTTTGACTTTCGAGTGCGTCCATTCTCGTCCAGACATGTCCCAAAAGATGTGTTGTAACACTTGAGTGAGTTCTTACATCTATAAATACTCTCATGCATGAATCATTCAATTAAAGAGTTCTTACATTACAGTTTTCAAATTTCATATAACATATTGTGTTATTTAATTTTCATTGAGTATTGGCAGTTTCAAACATTAGTATTAGCTCGTCGAAAGCTTGTATATTTCACGTATTTAATATAAAATCAAAAATTGTTTTATCTTGGAGGCGACTACTGCTAACCGTGAATATTTTTCAAAGCAATTTTATTATAAAGAAAATATAATTATTACGTGCCTCGACTTTCATTGTTGCTTCTATTTTTTCATCTTCCTTAAGTCGTTTTCTTGAAATTTCACTTACCAATTACCATTGAATAACAATCTTAAGACGAAATATGGTGAGTTCATAATATAGCAACCGAAGAACCCAAATGGTTCTTCAAGTGCAAGGCCGAGTGCTACACTGTCTATCATCCAAACACTCAGATGGCAGCCAGCCTTGTCCGGCAAAGGACCGCCAAAATTCAACACCTCTTAATTTAAGATGTGATAACAAAATGTGTTATTTTATTGCACTACCCTTTTTCTTTCTCGTTTCCTCATGGAAGATCCTTCTTCGTTCCCATAGTCGGATGTTTGCCGTATATTAATTTCTTGTGTAGAAGTCTCAAACTTAACATACTAGACAACATACTCTCTAACGTGTAAATTCAGGTTGAGACGTCCAAAGAATTATGGAATTCTTAAGAAACAAAGTACAAAACTAAAAATGATTGAATTAAGAAGTGTTTATCGTAAATCCCTTTTGTACGATTTTTTTTCCTTTTTAGCCCGAGAAATTGATAGTGAACGAAACATTTCAAGTGGCAACAATAGTCGAAAAGTTGTCTCCTTCACAAAGGACTTCAGCATAAACACAAAGAGATGAAACTTGAGGATATGATCGTTTGACTTCGAATAGAAGATGAAAATCGAAAATCTAAAGTATTGGTCAAATGAAGCAAGACAGAGGCAAAGGCAAATTGTAAGAAGCATGAAAATGAAAGGCAAACCAAACTTTTTTTTTTTCCAAACGGCAGATTGTATTAATAAAACCACGAAAAAACACAAGCGGCCAAATGACCGAAACAAACAACCAAAGGTTGAGACAGGGAGGCCTACGAGTCGAGACGATCGTAGCCTAGAAGGCTAAACAAGCCAAAACTAACTAGCAACACTAGAACAAACCAAACTGAAACGCCAAGAAATATGAAGGGGTTGTTATAATGGTGACAAATTCGGGTACCTTGTCAAATACGACTAATTTCTCGCGGTAAAAAGATAGTGCAAAATGTCAAGAATAAGATTACTTATCAGAGCTCAATCTTTACTTTGTGGTTCAAGTATTTAGTCGATTAAGAATCCACGTTACATGATTGTGAAGATGCCGCATTCAACATCAACGCTTTTGTTAAATTATATTAATAAGTTGTATATGACAAATAATACATTCATTTAGGAAATTATACCAGTTTATATCGTTTCATCGACTGGTTCTGAGTAATAATAAATCAGAGTTGATATTTACGTGGAATTCGAACGTCGGTTTACTTAATTTCCCTCATGGCACTTGATAATATTTAGGGGCTCATAAGATGGTTAACTCTTTCCTTGATTTTGAGCATGAATACAAGTACATTGTACTATGCTCCAACTCTAAGAATGATTGTCAAAGGTGTGAGAAAATCCAAAGAGGTTTGGGCTTCAGAAAATACTTCAAAAGATTATGAAGAAAAAGAACATCTGCCTATGAAACCCAATTTACTAATGTATATAATCATATATTGCTACAAACAGAAAACCATCAATCAACACATAAAAATACTGTTCTGCAACTCCAGTTCAACCGAAGAGGATGGATGTAACATAAAGAACAAGATTCTGAAAATAATGCTCCTAAATCAACAAACAATGTCATCAACAAACTTCACCAATCGACCAGAAACCAATTCAGGAGGTTCGGGCTAGGATTTGATTACCTCGATAAATGTCCAAAAGTTCGGGAATATCCTTCTCGTATTTCTCAATATAGGTCTTCAAGAAAATCTTCTCGGACATTGTCAGCAGGGACGTGATAGCCACATTCTTCAGCCCCTTTTCATTCAAAACCTCAGCAACAGCCCACCTTGGCTTCATTCTCCTTTCGAGGCTGTACCCAAGAATCCAAGAGCACCGGGCCACATCACCTGGTGCCCACCCTAATTTATCAACCAGAAAATCCATACTTTCCAAAATCTTCTTCTCGGACAAGGCCATACAGAGAGGCTGACTCAGAAAGGCGGTCCTGATGTCATATTCCGACCAGCCGCACTTTCTATAAACCTCCATCTTGCGCTTAAGGGTCAACTCATCAAAACCGACCAGAACCCGAATGGCCTTCAAAAACGCATTATTGGACACGTCAAACCCCATTTCTATTGCACGATCCATGCACGAGGATAACTTCTCCTGAGGAGCCAAGAACATTCTTGGCTCGTATGTGACCAGTGATACGAGAGAGGGCCAGGGGACCCCGCGGGCTGCTAGAAAATAGAGGTTGGATGAGAGTTCGTCGACCAGGTACCAGTCGAAGATCATTGGAGTCCGTTTAAAGGCTTGCACTACCAGCTTATCCGACCCGAGCAGGTTTTTCAGGAAATCGTATGAAGGGATGATTGAATTCTTCAGGCTGTGCCATAAGACATAAGGGGTTCGGGACAGACTGCTGGCCAGGATGGGGAGGGGCACGCCAATGGAGGCGAAAAATTCGAGCTTGGGCAAAAGGGTTTTGTCTGGGCAGGCACAGAGAACGTTCGGCCACCGGGTGACCATTACAGAGATGTCGGTAGCCGTGAATCCGTACTCTCTGAGGAGATTCAAGACCGCGTCTGGTTTTTCCGGCGATTTCAGCTGGATTTTACTGGAGGCGCGGACGGCGACGTCTGGAGCCAACCCGCATGAGCTGACGAGGTAGGAGAAAGTGAAGGATTTCTCAGGGTCATTTTCGCGAACACCTGGCGATGGTTTACCGGTGGTGAACGGCCTGGAAAAGACCGCATTTTCAGAAGCCCAAAATTGACGGCCGGCCAAAACAGACAGCTCCGGTGGGAGACTCAGTCGTTTGCCTCGGAGAATTGCGAACATCGATTCGAAATTCGATTTTGAATTCAACGGGCCTGGTGAGCCCACTAGGGTTTTTCTTTTTCGGGATTTTTAGAGGGAAACGCTTTTAATGATCAGGGGTAGTGGGGTATTGTTTCTTGAACTTTATGAGGGAAATGAATATATATCGCGTTTAACAAGAGCTTGTTGAGTGTTGACAACTTGATTTACCTTGATATCTTGTTATGTGGTTCCCCCCAATGGCAATCAAGATAAAATTGGAGGGTTCAGTTACACTTGAGTCATTCATATACAGATAGATTTAGTTACGTATATCCCCACATATTTAATATTTGTATTGATGCATTAAAAAAAAAAATAAAAAATCGTTGACTGTACTGCAATAGGTTGAATAAATTTAATTATTTTACATCACATAATTGATAAGACTATTAGAAATTAATAATACTAATTATGGAGTAAAGTATAATTGTCACCTTGTTTTGCCTGACCGAACTTTATTTTTGCTCCCTACACTTTCCATATACAAACTCTATTTCAGATAACATAAGTTGACACAAAGGATTATGAAACATAAAAAAATATGAAATATGCTTAAAAAGGGTTAAACAAACAAAAATGTAAATGGAAAAGTGAAAGTCAAAAACCCTAATTTACCTAAGACTAAAACATGTAAACATTTTATTTACATGATAAAAATCGTGTCCTAGATTACAAATGGCTAAAATATAGTTTTATAATCTAATACTTCGTAATTCATGTAGACCTAATTCAAAGTGAGAATGGGCTTGTTCATTACTGCCTATTGGGTATTATTGGGTTTTGGACACACATTCACATATACACACACTGTGGAATATGTGACAAAGAAACCCTATGGGTTACTCCATGGGGTAAAACTCGTCGAGTTTGTGGACTTTTTTGCAAATATTATTAAAGTTAAAAACACATGGATTGATCACATATTAGGATCAAGATTGTATTTTGCCCCTTTGTTCACCATTATTCTATTGACTGCAGATAAGTTTGTAGAAAGATGATTCGATTCCCGAGCATGCGTGTAACCTTCGGCAAAGCGAAATCTAGCTCTGAACTTATCCGCATTGTTGAGGCAACACGATACCAAAGTAGCTGAACAAGAACAAAACCTATCAAGCTTGAACAATGTTCTATAAGTCGCTAGACGCTCGACTAGCGCCTAGCGCCTAGAGCGCCTAGGCGTGGTCTAGAAATTAAGATTACATACCTTATTATTTATTTATTTTACTACCTACAAAATAAAACTATATCAACTTATAATACATCCACACACCTAAGTCCAAATAATAATATTGATTTATTATAATGAAACCATGATAACAAATAATGTAATTAGTATTTTTTTAACAAAAAAAGTTGAAAATTTGCCGCGGAGCCCACGTAGACACTGCCTAGTCGCCTGACTGATTTTTTCAGCCGATTCATACAAATCGGAGGCGCCTAGACGGCCGCCTAGGACGATTTTTAGTACAGTGACTTTTCAAGAATAAAGAAAGTTACATAAGGTAAATGGACAATTGATATAGTTGAAGATACGTAAACCAAACAAAAGCTTCAAAAGCCAAATTACCCTTTCCAAAAGTTCATATAGTATATTGTATTATTTAATTTTTCATTTAGTATAAATGGTTCAAGACATTAGTATTGTTTGTCAAATATGTGTATATTTAAGTATGTAATATAGAAATCAAAAGTAGTTGCATCCAAGACGCATCTGCTAACCGTGAGTATTTTTTCAAAACAATTTTGTCTTAAAGAAAACATAATTACTGTGTGTCTCGACTTTCATTTTTGTTTATTATTTCTTTTTTTTCCTTAAGTCATTTTCTTCATTCTAGCATACCATACAGTTCTTATGAAATTTGGTGTGTTCATAATATAGCAACCGAAGAAAATCAAACGGTTCTTCAAGTGCAAGGCCTGTGCTACACTCTATCATCCAAACACTTAAATGGTAGCCGACCCCATCCGGCAAAGGACCGCCAAAATTCAACCCCTCTGATTTTAAGAATTGATAACAGAATGTGTTATTTAATTGCACCAGCCTTTTTCTTTCTCGTTTTCTCAGGAAAATCCTTCATCGTTCCTATGGAAGACAACAATACACGGAGGCGTATGGAGTCAGATGTTTGGCGTATAAAGATTTCTTGTGTATTAGTCTCATACTTAAGGGACTAGGCGACATAGTCTATAATGTTTAAATTCCGGTTAAGAATCCAAGAAATTACAGAATTCTTAAGAAACAAAGTACAAAACGAAAACGCTAGAATTAAGAAGTTTTTTATAGGTAAATCCCTTGCTTACGTTTTTTTTTTTTTGCCGAGAAATCGATAGTGAACGAAGCATTTCAAGCGGCGAAAATTGTCAAAAAGTTTTCTTCTTCATAACAGACTTCAAGATTTATGTCCTGCATAAACACAAAGACAACGACAAAGAGATGAAACTTGAGGATTTGATCATTTGCTGCAAATAGAAGAAGATAATCGAAGACATTGATAACCGCAGAAAGTTGCCTCATAGCATTTGATAGATTTAGGGGCTCATAAGATGGTTAACTTTTTCCTTGATTTTGAGCATGAATACAAGGACATTGTACTATGCTCCAACTCTAAGCATGATTGTCAATGATGTGAGAAAATCCAAAGAGGTTTGGGGTTCAGAAAATACTTCAAAAAATTATGAAGAAAAAGAACATCTGGCTATCAAACACAATCTACTTCTCATACAAGTTTGTATATTGCTGAAACACAAGTTACTTCTCATATTAGTGTGTATATTGCAACAAACAGAAAACCATCAGTCAACACATAAAAATACTGTTCTGCAACTCTACTTCAATCGAAGAGGATTACGGATGTAACATAAAGAACAAGATTCTGGAAATAATGCTTCTAAATCAACCAAAAACAATATCATCAACAAACTTCAAACCAATTCAAGAGGTGTGCGCCAGGATCTGATTACCTCGATAAATGTCCAGAAGTTCGGGAACATCCTTCTTGTACCTCTCGATATAGGTCTTCAAGAAAACCTTTTCGGACATAGGTAGCAAGGTCGTGATAGCCACATTCTTCAGCCCCTTCTCACTCAAAACCTCAGCAACCGCCCACCTCGGCTTCATTCTCTTTTCGATGCTGTACCCAAGGAGCCAAGAGCACCGGGCCACGTCACCTGGTGCCCACCCTAATTTATCAACCAGAAAACCCATACCCTCCAAAATCTTCTTCTCGGACAAGGCCATACAGAGCGGCTGAATCAGAAAGGCGGTCCTCATGACGGATTCCGACCAGCCGCACTTTCTATAAACCTCCATCTTGCGCTCAAGTGTCGACTCGTCATAACCCACAAAAACCCGAATTGCCTTCCCAAATGCATAATTGGACACGTCAACCCCCATTTCTATTGCTCGATCCACACACAAGGATAACTTCTCCTGAGGAACCATAAGCATTGTTAGCTTGTACGTGACCAGTGACACGAGAGATGGTCGAGGGACCCCACGGGCTGCTAGAAACGAGAGGTTGGATGAGATGTCGTCAGCCCGGCTCCAGGTGAAGAACTGGGGAGCCCGTTGAAAGACTTGCACTACCAGCTTATCCGACCCCAGCAGGTTTTTCAGGAAATCGAATAAGGGGATGATTGACTTCTTCAGGCTGCACCTTAAGATGGTAGGGTTCCGGGACAGCCTGCTGGCCAGGATGGGGAGGGGGATGCCAAATGAGGCGAAATATTGGAGCTTGGGCAAAAGGGTTTTTTCTGGGCAGGCAGAAAGAACGCGCGGCCACCGGGTGACCAGTGCAGAGATGTCGGCGGCCGTGAATCCGTACTCTCTGAGGAGATTCAACACCGCGTCTGTTCTGTCAGGCGATTTCAGCTGGAGTTTACTGGAGGCACGGACGGCGACGTCTGGAGCCAACCCGCATGAGCTGACGAGGTAGGAGATGATAAAGGATTCTTCAGTGTCATTTTCGCGAACACCTTGCGGTGGTTTCCCGGTAGTGAACGGCCTGGAGAAGACCGCATTTTCAGAAACCCAAAATTGGCGGGCAGCCAAAATAGAGAGCTCCGGTGGGAGCCTGAGTCGTCTGCCTCGGAGAATCGCGAACATCGATTCGAAATCCGATTTTGAATTTCAACGGACTTGGGGAGCCGACGAGCAGACGAGGGTTTGAAGATGTGTATTCAGTATATGCAGTCTTTTTCGGCGATTTAGGGAAGGGGCCTCGCGTTTTTTATGTAAATGTCACGTTTGACAATCAGCACTTTTTGAAATCAATTTAATTTACTTTTATTATTATTATTATTATTATTATTATTATTATTATTATTAGTCGTGGCCCGTGCGATGCACGAGATGATATATTTTTTAAAAATTTGAATGGTGGATTTATAATTGTCAAATAATATGCAAATCAAAATTTCAGATTACATTTGTGTTAATTTGTGTCATTTTATGCAAAGAACAAAATTTCTACAAAAGAATATTTTGATGTATGTTTGATTATAGTAGCCTAATGTATTCGTGCAAAAAAAAAATACATTAAGTTTTATCTAATTAATTATAAATAATATTTTAATTATAAATTATAAAGAGAGATAAAGTTTTACGGCCAAACGTTTTTTTGTAAAAAAAATCTCTCTACTAATTATCCAAATTACATTGTATGCTGGACTTATTTTACAAACTAAGTTCTCGACCAACCAACCAAAACTCTAATTTATAAATGATTCAAAATATTAACAGATACCTTTACAATAGAAACAAATTTCAAGCAAATTTTGCATAAAAAATATATACCATAAATAATTTGAAATGTCGCAAAAGAGTATATGTAATTTATACCATAAATAATTTAAACTTAACAAATGAGATATATTAATAACATGAAGATCAAAAGCCATTAAAATTTTGAATTTAAATTGGATTACCAAAAGAAGTAAGTCAAAACTTTGACCCATTTTTTTAATCAACTTTCCACAAATAATTTTTAATCAATTTTTCCATCAACCTCTTTCAATATATATAAATTTTAATTTTTTTTTTNGGTGGGTGGGTTTAACTCTTGCACTGTCAAGGCAATAAATTCAATCGATGGATAAAATACTTCGAAGCCTGACCCAAGTTTTTGTCTTGGTCTAATAGGCCCAAGCCGACCCATTATTCTAATAGTGCTTTCCTAGACATTTCGGAGTTCATAGGTCAACTTACCGTGAGCCGTAATTACATGCTTCATAATTCTACGCGATGTGTTATTTTTTTACGAACCGCTCTTCTATGACTTCAAACCGGTTTGATCTCTGGAGTAACTTGTAAAACACACAGGGAGTGTTCTTAGTAATAAACCTCCGACAACCAAATCAGTTCTCGAAATATGAAAGAGTATAAAATGTGTAAAAGTATTGTAAAGTTTAGAGTGTGTAAGTGTGTAACTTGTGTCCTTTCAAACTTGAGACCTATATATAGTAAACTCTTGACTTGTTGACTAAGATCTGTCCAATTTGCAGTCTGAATGACCTGGTTGCCCGAAGGTTTGTCCGACGGTTATCTTGTTGCTCCTAAGGTTTGCCCAATGACCCATTCTTATCTCTAAGATGATCTAAATCTTCTTTTATAACCTTCCACGTCACTCTTAAAGTGTGTTATTCCCTTAGGTTTCTGATTTATAATGTCGTTTACAGGTCTGCATGCATAAATTTTCCATATGTTTCGTATACAAACAATTCGCAGGTCTTCATATGTTAATTGTCCATGAGTCTGCTTTATACGAAACAATTCACAGGTCTTCATATGTTTATTGTCCATGGGCTGCTAAATGCACTGTGAGTTGGTCTACATGCATAACTGCCATAGGTTGCCTAGATACATTGTCATTGTCAACAGCCAACAGGTTTACAAGTATAACAGCAAATATGTCATCTAGATACACTGGCAGTAGGTGTATATTTTTAAACTGTCCATAGATCGGTATTATAATTAATTGTCGAGAGGTCACCATCCATATTCGAGTTGCTAGGTTTAACAACCATATAACCTGACCTATATAAATGAACAGTCCAACCGAGCTGTTACATCGCCGAGCTATATGAAAAGTGCACTCACTCGAGCTAAATGAGACCGGTTCTTTCGAGCTACTGTATATGTTATATCACCATGTCTTGAATTTTATGCTCTAATTCTATGTGTCAATTTGTTGTGTGTTATATAACCAATTCTACTTATGTATATTAGCTACACATTTTAAAACAAAGTGATTAACTCAAACTATAGATAAATTTTAAAGTTTATTATACTCCCTCCTATTTTTACTAAGTGTCGTTGCACAATAATTAAGAATATTTTTTTTGTCAATAATAATTCTCATTAATGAAGATAGAGATGGATGTTTTGAGAACAGATGAAGAGTGAATATGAAAAGACGTAGTGTAATTATTAGCTAAATGAAGGTAATAATGAAAAAATATGTACAAAATATCCAAAAATCATTTATTTGGTTAATAGTTGATAAAGCTAAAATGACATTTAAAAAAATAGGAGGTAGTATAGTATTTATTATCATTTTTTCATATATTAATAACAAATAAATTATCAATTAATATAAATTAAAAACTAAATAATTGTTAAATTTGTATCATATGGTTTTTTATGAAAGTGGATGAGAAACTAGTGTAGTACGTGTAGAAAAATATAAATTTGAAAGTAAAAATTGAGTTTAAGTAACTTAATAACTGTTAAATTTGTATCATATGGTTTTTTATGAATACTCGGACGAGCCAAACGAGCAATAATCATGCACTGAGCATGCTAGAACTCTAACAGAGTTTGTTGTTGGGGACGAGTAGGAAAAAATTGGGCACAATTTGGAACCCGAATGACTGCGTGCAGGCTCGCGGCACTTGAACGCACAACTGACACTCGTGGCTCGTAACGACTGCTCGTGGCCGCAACCAATTTTCATCTATGGTGTTCTCTAGTGTCCATAAGATGTCCTTTGATTTTCGGGTGCGCCAGTCTCATCCGGGCAAGTTCCGAAAGTTGTGATTTAAAATATAAACCTCTTAAGGTGTTCTCTTACATCAATAAGTACCCTCATGAAATTAATCATTCAATGCACTTACAATTAAAGAGCTCATGTATTACACTTTTCATAGTCTATATAAAATATTGTGTTATTTAATTTTTTATTGTGAGAGTTTCAAACATGTATTATTCGTCGAAAGCTTTTATATTTCAAGTACATAATATATAATTTAAAAGTCGTTATAACTTAAAGACATATGCCATTAACCGTGAGTATTTTTAAGAGAAAATTCCTCTTTAAAAAAACGTAATTACCGCATGCTCCGACATTTAATTTTGCTTTTGTTATCTTCATCTTCCTTAAGTAATTTTCTTGATTTTCACACACCATCCAATAACAATGTTAAGACGGAATTTGGTGAGTTCATAATATAACAACTGAAGAAAACCAAATGAGTGTTTCAACTGCTAGGCCGAGTGGTACACCGACTATCGTCCATTCACGCATATGGTAGTTTTACGACTCTGAGACGTTTTTTATTTTCGGAGATCTTCCAATGATTAAAATAGTGCGCCATGGCATCGCCATGCATGGCGCGGCGCGAGGCGAGGCGGGGCTTCGACGCCTCAGACCCTTGAGGCAAGGCGGCCTTGTGAAAGGTGACGCCATGTGGGATGTAGCATAGCGTAGCGCGAGGCGACGCCTTATAAAGGTGAGGCGAGACAGGGAAATTTAGGTATTTTTATACCTAAGGTTTCACTTACTGTAGATTAAAACTTACCAATTGACAAAAATTACTTATCAAACTACAACATTACCATGTGCCTTTTGTTCCACCGATGATGGCGACCGGATTCCAACAACTAACCGGCGACGGTGAGTGGTACATGTTCCAGTTTTTCCTTATCTTCTTCTTTTTTCTTTTTTCCTTTCTTGCTTCAGTTATTCTTCACTAGCACGGGAACCTGTTGTGTAAGTCAGCCAGCTCCGGCTAAACTTCCGTCTGGCCAGGGATGAAAAGCAACCGGGGGGCCTGGGGTTAGCGTGTTTTTTTTATTTTCTATTTTTATTATTTATTTTGTTTGTTTATGAATGTGGAGCATTAACTTGATGCAAAGTAGTCATTATATTATTATTGTAATTGGGAATTTGGCATAATGTGGGATTGTGCGGTGGGTTGATGCTACTTGTTATTTCTATTTCTAGTTTGTTTAATGTTTTTATTTTAATGTGTATTGTTTTGTTGCATGTTTATAGCGATTATAATTTATTTTTATATACATAATTTGGTAAAATGTCACATGTACATATGTTTCTATTTTTTGGATAATGGCTCGCCTCGCTTTCACAAGGTGGGCACCTCGCCGCACGCCTCACGCCATGGCAAATCAGAGCGTTGTCGCCTGGACATGTCTAATCTGGCTATGAAACATACTAGTGTGTGTATGTTGCTACAAACAGAAAACCATCAATCAACTCATCACAGTTTGAGGGGCAACAATTGAGCGACAACTGTGAAAAAGTTGCCTCGGACTTCAAGAGTTATCTCGCAAGCAAATAGATGAAACTTAGGGATTTGACTCGACTTCGGATAAGAGATTAGAAGAAGATAATCAAGGACATTGATAAACGCAAAACGTTGCCTCATGCCATTTGATAGATTTAGGGGCTCATAAGATGGTTAACTTTTTTCTTGATTTTGAGCATGAATACAAGAACATTGTACTATGCTCCAACTCTAAGCATGATTGTCAAAGGTGTGAGAAAATCCAAAGAGGTTTGGGCTTCAGAAAATACTTCTCATACTAGTGTGCTACAAACAGAAAACCATCAATCAACTCATCAAAATATTGTTCTGCAACTCCAGTTCAACCGAAGAGGATTACAGCTGTTACATAATGAACAAGATTCTGAAAATAATGTTCCTAAATTAACAAAAACAATATCATCAACAAACTTCATGAATCGACTGGAAACCAATTCAGGAGGTGCGGGCCAGGATTTAATTACCTCTATAAATGTCCAAAAGTTCGGGAACATCCTTCTTGTACTTCTCTATATAGGTCTTCAAGAAAAGCTTCTCGGTCATTGACAGCAGGGACGTGATAGCGACATTCTTCAGCCCCTTCTCACTCAAAACTTCAGCAACGGCCCACCTCGGCTTCATTCTCTTTTCAATGCTGAACCCAAGAAGCAAAGGGCACCGAGCCAAGTCACCTGGTGCACACCCTAATTTATCAACCAGAAAACCCATATTCTCCAAAATCTTCTTCTCAGACAGGGCCATACAGAGCGGCTGACTCAGAAAGGCAGTCCTGATGTCAGATTCCGACCAGCCGCACTTTCTATAAACCTCTATCTTGCGCTTAAATGTCGACTCATCAAAACCCACCAAAACCCGAATGGCCTTCATAAATTCATAATTGGACACGTCAAACCCCATTTCTATTGCTCGATCCACGCATGTGGATAACTTTTCCTGAGGAACCAAGAGTATTCTTGGCTCGTACGAGATCAATGACACGAGAGACGGCCGAGGGACCCCACAGGCCACAAGAAACGAGAAGTTGGACGAGATGTCGTCAGCTCGGCTCCAGCTGAAGAACTGGGGAGCCTGTATAAAGACTTTAACGACCCCCTTATCCGACCCGAGAAGGTTTTTCAGGAAATTGTATAAGGGGATGATTGAGTTCTTCAGGCTGCGCCTTATGATGGTAGGGTTCCGGGACAGCCTGCTGGCCAGGATGGGGTGGGGGATGCCAAATGAGGCGAAAAACTGGATCTTGGGCAAAAGGGTTTTGTCTGCGCAGGCACAGAGAACCTTCGGCCACCGGGTGACCATTACAGAGATGTCGGCGGCTGTGAATCCGTACTCTCTGAGGAGATTCAAGACCGCGTCTGCTTTTTCCGGCGATTTCAGCTGGAGTTTACTGGAGACGCGGACGGCGGCGTCCGGAGCCAACCCGCATGAGCTGACGAGGTAGGACAAAGTGAAGGATTTCTCAGAGTCATTTTCGCGAACACCTGGCGGTGGTCTCCCGGTGGTGAACGGCCCCGCATTTTCAGAAGCCCTAAATTGGCGGGCGGCCAAAATAGAGAGCTCCGGTGGGAGCCTAAGTCGTCTGCCACGGAGAATCGCGAACATCGATTTGAAATTCGATTTTGAATTCAACGGACTTAGAGCTGACGAGCAGACGAGGGTTTGAAGATGTGTATTTAGTATATGCAGTCTTTTTCACGATTTAGGGAAGGGGCATCGCGTTTTTTATGTATATGTCGCGTTCGACAATCAGCACTTTTTGTGTCCAATTTACTTTACTATTCAACGGATAAAACACTTCAAGCCTGACCCAAGTTTTTGTCTTTGTCTAATAGGCCCAAGCCGACCCATCATTCTGATAGTGCTCAACTTACAATGAGTTATAACTATGTGTTTCATAATTCTATGTGACGTGCTATTTCTTTACGAACTGCTCTTCTATGACCTCGAACCGATTTGATATCTGGATTAACTTGCAAAACACGTCGAGAGTGTTCTCAGCGGTAACCCTTCGACAATCAAGTCAATTCTCAAAATATGAAATAGTATAAAATATATAAGAATATTGTAAAATTTAGAGTAAGTTGTACCCTTTCAAACTTGAGACTTATATATAGTACATTTTTGCCTTGTTGCCCAAGATCTGTCCAATTCTACTGTCCGAGTTACTTGACTGCCCGAAAGTATGCATGATCCTACCGCCTGGGTGCTCGGTGACCTATTCTTATCTCTAAGATGATCTAAATCCTTCTTTTATAACCTTCCACGTCACCCTTAAAGTGTGTTATTCCTTGAGTTCCTGATTTATAATGTCGTCATTATCCATAGGTTTTTGTATACATACAATCTGCAGGTCTTCATATGTTAATTGTTCATAGGTGATCTGCTGAATGCACTGTCACTTGGTTTACATGCATAACGGCCATAGGGTGGCCAGGTACATTGTCACTGTCAGTAGGTTTATACGTATAGCTGCACATAGGTTGGCCAGATACACTGTCAGTAGATCTACATTTACAAACTATCCATAGGCCGGTAATATAACTAACAACATGTCTTCTCCCATATTCGAGCTGCTAGTTCTTATAATGAGACCTATATAAATGAACGGTCCACCTAAGCTGTTACATCGCCAAACTATATGAAAAGTTCATTCACTCGAGCTAACTGAGACCGGTTCATTTGTTATATCACCATGTGTTGAATTTTATGCTCCAATTCTATGTGTCAGTTTGTTTGTTGTGTGTTAGATAACCAATTATACTTATGTATATTAGCTAAAAGTTATAAAACAAGTGATTAACTCAAGTTATAAATAAATTTTAAAGGTTATTTATTTAGTATTTATTATCATTTTATCAAATATTAATAACATATAAATTGACAATTAATATAAATTAAAAATTAATAAAATTATGTATCAGCTAAATAAATTTACTTGTAAAATTATTATATTGATGTGAGTTGGAAAAATTATTATAATGCAAGATGAGTAAGTCGTAAAGACAAAGCATGTCATTTTAAATATAAATAATATTATGCATCTTTTTTAAATATAAATTATATTATGCATGTCATTATATATATATATATATATATATATATATATATTTCATAACTATCACATATATAATTACACAGGTGATCAAAGTGCCTCATTCGAGGGGTATCCCTGAATATTTCTCATTCTCAGGCTCTGGTCGTTGAACTTTATCGATTTCAATTCAGTTTTGAGTTGTCATTGTTCTATTATTAAATCAACTTTCTTCAATTATCATTCGCTTCCGTTATTGTATGCGTTGAAAACTTTCATCCATTTATTTTTTCTTTATATGATTGTTTGTTGTATGTGTAAGAAAATTGGCTTGTACCTAAATTAGTGTAGTATATGTAGAAAAATATAAGTTTGAAACTAAAGATTGAGTTTAAGTGACTCAATAATTGTTAAATTCGCAATCATTTAGTTTTTTCAAGGAATTGAATGTGAACTAAACCTTTCAAGTGGCGACAATTGTCAAAAAGTTGCCTCTTTGTGGAAGGACTTCAAGAGTTATCTCCTGCATAAACGCAAGCAAACAAGCAAATAAATGAAACTTAAGGATTTGATATTGACTTCAGATAGAAGATTAGAAGAAGATAATCGAGGACATTGATAAACGGAAAAAGTTGCCTCATGGCATTTGATAGATTTAGGGGCTCATAAGATGGTTAACATTGTCCTTGATTTTGGGCATGAATACAAGGACGTCGTACTATGCTCCAACTCTAAGCATGATTGTCAAAGGTGTGAGAAAATCCAAAGAGGTTTGGGCTTCAGAAAATACTTCTCATACTAGTGTGTATATTGCTACAAACAGAAAACAATCAATATACTCATCAAAATACTGTTCTGCAACTCCACTTCAACAGAAGAGGATTACGGACATAACATAAAAAAACAAGATTCTGGAAATAATGCTCTTAAGCCGACAAACAAAATCATCAATTAACTTAACTCATCGACCAGAAGTAAATTCAAGAGGTTCGGGCCAGGATTTGATTACCGCGATAAATGTCCAAAAGTTCGGGAACATCCTTCTCGTACCTCTCGACATAGGTCTTCAAGAAAATCTTCTCGGACATTGTCAGCAGGGACGTGATAGCCACATTCTTCAGCCCCTTCTCACTCAAGACTTCAGCAACTGCCCACCTCGGCTTCATTCTCCTTTCAAGGCTGTACCCAAGAATCCAAGAGCACCGGGCCACGTCACTTGGTGCCCACCCAACTTTATCAACCAGAAAACCCATACTCTCCGCAATCTTCTTCTCGGACAAGGCCATACACAGCGGGTGACCCAGAAAGGCGGTCCTGATGTCGGATTCAGACATGCCACACATTCTATAAACCTCCATCTTGCGCTTAAGGGTCGATTCCTCAAAACCCACCAAAACCCGAATGGCCTTCAAAAATGCATTACTGGACACGTCAAACCCTATTTCTATTGCTCGATCCACGCACGAGGATAACTTTTCCTGAGGAGCCAAGAGCATTCTTGGCTCGTACGTGAGGAGTGAGACGAGAGACGGCCGAGGGACTCCGCAGGCCAGAAGAAACGAGAAGTTGGACGAGATGTCGTCTGCCCGGCTCCAACCGAAGAACTGGGGAGCCTGTTTGAAGACTTGAACTACCCCCTTATCCGAACCGAGAAGGTTTTTCAGGAAATCGTATGATGGGATGATTGAGCTCTTCAGGCTGTGCCATAAGAGGGAAGGGGTTCGGGACAGTTTGTGGGCCAAGATGGGGAGGGGGACGCCAATGGAGGTGAAAAATTCGAGCTTGGGCAAAAGGGTTTTATCTGGGCAGGCAGAGAGAACGTTCGGCCACCGGGTGACCATTACAGAGATGTCGGCGGCTGTGAATCCGTACAGTCTGAGGAGATTCAAGACCGCGTCGGGTTTTTCCGGCGATTTCAGCTGGAGTTTACTGGAGACGCGGACGGCGGCGTCCGAAGCCAACCCGCATGAGCTGACGAGGTAGGACAAGGTGAAGGATTTCTCAGAGTCATTTTCGCGAACACCTGGCGGTGGTCTCCCGGTGGTGAACGGCCGGGAAAACACCACATTTTCAGAAGCCCTAAATTGACGGGCGGCCAAGATAGAAAGCTCCGGTGGGAGCCTAAGTCGTCTGCCACGGAGAATCGCGAACATCGATTTGAAATTCGATTTTGAATTCAAAGGACTTAGAGCTGACGAGCAGACGAGGATTTGAAGATGCGTATCAGTATATATCGTCTTCTTTGGCGATTTAGGGGGAAGGGGTATCGCGTTTCTTGAAATATCTGAGGGAAATGAATATGTTGCGTTTGACAATCAGCACTTTTTGTGTTCAATTTGATTTAACCTTAATATTTTGTTTCTATGTTTTCTTTTTCCTCTTTAGAATTATCAAAGAAATAATTATAAGAGTACTGATCAAACATTTTAAGCCTGACCCAAGTTTTGGTCAACTTCTTGTGGGTTGTAAATCACGTGTTTCGCAATTCTATGTATTTAATCTTATGTTTTAATTTGTTTGTGATGTAGAGTAACCCATGTAAGATCTATATTTCTATTTATATTTATTAGAGTTTTTAAAAGTATAAAATACGTGATTAACTCGTGTTTAAACATATTCTAAAAGTTATTATATTTAGTATTTCTCATCAGATTTTCATATATTCATAAAAAATAAATTACTGCTAATATTAATTAAAAGTAATAAAATTATTTATCAATTAAATAAATTTACTATAAATTATAATTTGATAAGTGTTATAAAAAGTACTACAACGTATGATGAGTAATAATTAAATCGTACAATTAAAGCATGCCATTTTAAATAATAATCCATATAGAAAAATGTATTTGAAAAATAAATAAACACTTTTCTCTTTAAAATTAAATAAATATAAATTTTATAACTTCTATATTATAATTACACGGTGAATAGAGTGACTTACTCGTGAGGCAACACTGTATATTTCTCATTTCAGTACTGGTAGTTTAACTTTTTGGATTCTACATCAACTTTCTACAATTATCACTCGTTTCAGTTATTGTATACATTGAAAACTTTTATCCTGTATTTTGTTGTAATATGATGTGTGTTCGAAATATGTGATGAATGTTGTATGTGTAAGAACTTAGTTTTGTATCTGTAAATGAAAAACTTTGAAAGTTCTCAAAATCAATATAAGGTGAATGAGAAAATAATGTAGTATATATGAAAAAAAAATATATATAAGTTTGAATATAAAAATTGAGTTTAAGTAACTCAATAACTGTTAAATTCGGAATTTGGTCTTTGACGAATACTTCCGCAAACCCAACAAGTTGTAATCATGCATTGCGCATGCTAGAACTCTAATAGAGTTTGTTGGGGCGAGTAGGAAAATTTACACAATTTGGAGTTCGGATGAGAGCGTACGGGCTTCCGACACGTGGATGTGCAACTGATAATGTAGCGACTCACGACGACTGCACACAGTCGTAACCGAATTTCAATTGTCGGGCACGACACTTGTCACGACCCACGATGGGTCACGTCTCCTAGTGTCTATAATCGGTCTTTAGACTTTCGGATACGTCTATCTCGTCCGAGCATGTTCCAAAAGTTGTGTTTTAAAATTTAAACCTCTTGGCATGATTGGTTGTAATCATGCAATGCGCATGCTAGAACTCTAATAGAGTTTGTTGGGGCGAGTAGGAAAATCTTTTACACAATTTGGAGTTCGGATGAGAGCGTACGGGCTCGCAACACGTGGATGTGCAGCTGATAATGTAGTAACTCACGACTACTGCACACATTCGCAACCGATTTTCAATTGTCGGGCGCGACACTTGTCACGACCCACGATGGGTCACGTCTCCTGGTGTCTATAAGCGGCCTTTAGACTTTCGGATACGTCTGTCTCGTCCGAGCATGTTCCAAAAGTTGTGTTTTAAAATTCAAACCTCTTGGCATGATTGGTATATTGGAATGGAATTTGATAGGAATAGAATGAGTTGGAGAATGGAATGAAAATGAGAAAGGAATGAAACAAGTTTTTTCATTGACGTGTTTGGTATACAGAAGGAATAAGACCTGAACAGAATGACATTATCATTCTATATTATTATTTCTCACTATTTTATAGAAAAAATAATATTTATATTCATGTTATTTTTTTATTTATGATAATAATAAATTATTTTATTTTCATATAAAAAATTACTATATTTTGATAAATATATTTTTGTGTTGTTACACTCATATATATTATATAATAAATTAGTGAATTGTATATTCTTGTACATATTAACTAATACAAATATATCATTACATAAACCCCTATAAGCATATGTGGTCGAATATAATTTTATTATAATTCAATTTATGAATAAATATATAATATATATGATGTATAAAAATAAAATAATATCTTTTTTAATTATTTATAAATGCATTTTTTAGTTTTAGTTTTATATAAGTATTTAATATATTTAATTATAATATGAACAATAAATAAAAATGTTTTTAAATTTTTATTTGAAATTATTTTTTTTAAAAAAAAATAATATAACTTAATCGTGATTTATAGTATATATATTTATGTAATGTAGTAAGTTTGGATAATTTTGTTAAAAGGAAATTAATAAATTCATTTCCAATGGATTTGGAATGGATAAAACCATGGGTTATGGAAGGAATGAATAATCCCATAATAATGGGAATAGTGATTCCATGGTAATGGTTATTCCTTAACAAAAGATACCAAGTACAGGAATCTATCATTATATAAAAAGAATAACCTTTTTACAAATTTAGAAATTTTTTCCCGCCAAAATCATTAAATATATCCTATATATAGTAATTGTTGGACAAATCTGAATAGGCAAAAAAATCCGCTCATTAATTGTGTAAAGATTTTTTTCTCTTTTTCCGGTTTCTTAGTTTATCGTTTTAACAATAAATATTTATTTTTCTTTTTCCTATTTTTAGTATAAATCTACACGAGCTTATCTCTTCTGTTACAAAATCTCATTGCATACAATCTTAGGTGTTTAAAAAATCTCATCTCTTATCTATACAGATTTGAAAAAATAAAATAAAATAGAAATCAATTCATAATTACTAATAGAAATCCATTATCTTTGAAAAGAAAAAATAAAATAAAATAAAAACTAATTCATAATTACTACTAGAAATCCATTATCTACTTTAAGAAGCTAATTTTCATCGGTCTAATTACTAATATTTTTACAAATATTCTAAGCTAACCATACAAAAAAGTATAATAATAATTTTGAAATGGTGTGTAATCAAATTTTTTTATATTCTCTTATACAAAATCATTTTACGTTGTTTGACACCGAATCTTTAATTTATAATTATTAAATATTGTTTATCCTCCTCTTTTATTTACAATTATTTTTTTTCTTTCTCTTTTTAAATACGATCAATAGTAGTTTTTACTTCCGCCATTGACTCAAACTCGAGGTCTATTTATAATATTGTTAATTTAATATTGTTCCCGTGCATCGCACGGGGTACACACTAGTGAGAATCAAATAAGGAATAATCATTCCATTCATGGTCCATTCCCATATACCAATCATGCGTTCACCATTAAGAAATTTTATTAAGGTTTTTCCTACATCTATAAATACCCCATGCGTTCGTCATTCAATGCACTTCCAGCTAAAAAGCACTTGCATTACACTTTTCAATGTTCATAATATTGTGTTATTTAATTTTTCATTTAGTATTGAGAGTACTAAACATTAGTATTGTTTGTCGCTAAGTATGAGTATTTTTTTCAAAGCAATTTTGTCTTAAAACAAACGTAATTATTGTGTGTCGCAAAGTTTGGTAAGTTCATTATATAGCAACCAGAGAAAACCAAACGGTTCACAAAGGACTTCAAGAATTATATCCTGCATAAGTGCATAAGCACAAACAGATGAAACTTGAGGATTTGATCCTTTGCTTCAAATAGAATAAGATAATCGAGGACATCAATAAACGCAAAAAGTTGCCTTATGGCATTTGATAGATTTAGGGGCTCATAAGATGGTTAACTTTTTCCTTGATTTTGAGCATAAATACAAGGACATTGTACTATGCTCCAACCCTAAGCATGATTGTCAAAGTTGTGAGAAAATTCAAAGATGTTTGGGCTTCAGAAAATACTTCAAAAGATTATGAAGAAGAAGAACTTCTGGTTCTGGCTATGGAACACGATTTGCTTATCATACTAGTGTATATATAGCTACTAAGTACTAACAGAAAACATAACCAATTGACTGAAAAGACCGTTCTGCAACTCCAATGCAAACCAAAGAGAATTTCGAATGTAACATAGAAAACAAGATTCTCGAAATAATGCTCCCAAGACAACAAACAAAATCATCAACTAACATCACCAATTGACGGGAAACCAATTCAGGAAGTGCGGGCCAGGATTTGATTACCTCGATAAATGTCATAAAGTTGGGGAATATCCTTCTTGTACTTCTCAACATAGGTCTTCAAGAAAGTCTTCTCGGACACTGTCAGCAAGGACTTGACAGTCGCATTCTTCATCCCCTTCTCACTCAAAACCATAGCAACTGCCCACCTCGGCTTCATTCTCTTTTCAACGCTGTACCCAAGAAGCAAAGGGCACCGAGCCACGTCACCCGGTGCACACCCGAATTTATTAACGAGAAAAGCCATACTCTTCAATATCTTCTTCTCGGACAAGGCCATACAGAGCGGCTGACTCAGAAAGGCGGTTCTGATGTCGGATTCCGACCAGCCGCACTGTCTATAAACCTCCATCTTGCGCTTAAGGGTCGACTCCTCATAACCCACCAAAACCTGAATGGCCTTCAAAAATGCATCTTTGGACACGAGAATCCCCATTTCTATTGCTCGATCCACTTGCGAGGATAGCTTCTCTGGAGAAGCCGTGAGCACGCGTGGCTGTCTCGTGACCAGCGAGACGAGAGACGATGAGGGGACCCCACGGGCCGCAAGAATCGAGAGGTTGGACGAGAAGTCGCCGGCCAGACACCAGCCGAAGATCAGGGGAAACCGTTTAAAGACTTGCACTACCAGCTCATTCGACCCGAGCAGGTTTTTAAGGAAATCGTGTGAGGGAATTATTGAGTTCTTCAGGCTGTACCATAAGACGTTAGGGTTTCGGGACAGCTTGCTGGCCAGTATGGGGAGGGGGACGCCAATGGAGGTGAAAAATTCGAGCTTGGGCAAAAGGGTTTTTTCTGGGCAGGCACAGAGAACGCTCGGCCACCGGGTGACCATTACAGAGATGTCGGCGGCCGTGAATCCGTACTCTCTGAGGAGATTCAAGACCGCGTCTGGTTTTTCCGGCGATTTCAGCTGGAGTTTACTGGAGGCGCGGACGGCGACCTCTGGAGCCAATCCGCATGAGCTGACGAGGTAGGACAAGGTGAAGGATTTCTCAGAGTCGTTTTCGCGAACACCTGGCGGTGGTCTCCTGGTGGTGAACGGCCTGGAAATGACCGCATTCGCAGAAGCCCAAAATTGACTGGCGGCCAAAATTGAGACTCCCGGCGGGAGCCTGAGTTGTCTGCCTCGGAGAATCACGAACATCGATTTGAAATTCAACGGACTTAGTTAACTGACGAGCAGACGAGGGTTTAAAGATGCGTATCAGTATATAGTCTTCTTCGGCATTAATAGGGAAGGGGTATCGCGTTTCTTGAAATTTCCGAGGGAAATGAATATGTCGCGTTGACTATCCGCACTTTTTGTGTTCAATTTTATACCTTAATATTTTGTTGAATTATTCTATGTTGTCTTTTTCCTTTTTTGCATTATCAAGGAAATAAATGGCGTAATTAATATAATAGAATAGAATTTGATAGGAATGGAATGAGTTGAAGAATGGAATAAATATGGAAAAGAAATGAAATCAGTTATTCCATTAATGCATGTGTTTGGTCACTATAAAAATCTAATCTATTATCTATAAAATTTGATTTTTTTCTAATTGCAACATGAATTTGAATTATACATCAAATATAATTTTTCGAATATCAAATTTCATTATTTAAAATCTCAAATATGATTTCCTAACGCAGCACGAATAAATTTAATTTCTATTATTTTCAAGTTCTTTTTCTTTCAAACAGATTATGGTGAAAACACGTACAATCCTATTTTCATTGAACCAGATTAATCTAAATAAGAGTTTGCTATGATGAAAACTCTATAAATCCAAGTTTCGTTGGAACAGATTATTCTAAATCCTACTAGATATACACTAAAATTTAAAACCTAATACAAAATATCTTTTTATTTGTTTCCTCTAATAAATTCAATACCTCAAACATGTTTTATGTTAACCTCACTTCTTTAATTTATAATTATTATTTAATATTATTTACTACACTTCTGGACTTTCTCGGTGTCTTAAAACACTGAGAAGCACGAGTGGAGCTAAAGCAAGGAAGGGATTGACTAGTCGTCAAGCACGACCGATAAGCGAACATAATTATCAAGACGCGAGCCTTCCCGGTCTAACTTCCTAAGGAGAGCAAAGTTAGACTTATGAAGCTAAATTTGATCAATTTTCAATGGTGTATCAATTTACAAATTACGAGGAAGGTCTGAGGCACGAAGTCTTAACGAGCCACTCTTGATCTTAGAGGAGACGCATTCTTATTCATCTATCGATTGATGGTAGTAGCCTATAAAATAGGAGTACTTTTCTACGTTCCTACCGTAACACTCACTCATTAATTCATAATTATTATTTAATATAGCTCACTCGTGCATCAGACGGGCTACGTACTAGTCGTATAAGTAACACATGTCATTTTAAATAATAATGCATTTAAAAAATATGTATTTGAAAAATAAAACAAACACTTTGCTCTTTAAAAAAATGTAAATTTCATAACTACCACATTATAATTCGAAAGGCAGCACTGTATATTTCTTATTTCAGGTACTAGTAGTTGAGCTTTCTGAATTCCAGGTCAAATTCATTTTGTCATTGTTCTATTATTACATCAACTTTCTACAATTATCACTCGTTTCAGTTATTGTATGCATTGAAAACTTTTATCCTGTATTTTGTTACAATATGATGTGTGTTCGAAATATGTGATGAATGTTGTATGTGTAAGAAAACTTAGTTTTGTACCAATAAATGAAAAACTTAGAAAGTTCTCAAAATCAATATAAGGTGAATGACAAAATAATGTAGTATATATGAAAAAATCAAAGTTTGAAACTAAAAATTAAGTGTAAGTAACTCAATAATTGTTAAATTCGAAATATGGTGTTTGATGAATACTTCCGCAAACCCAACAAGCTATAATCATGCACTGAGCATGCTAGAACTCTAATAGAGTTTGTTGGGGCGAGTAAGAAAAACATGGGCACGATTTGGAGTCCAGATGAGCGTGTACGAGCTCGCGACACGTGGACGCACAGTATAATGTCGCGACTTACGACGACTGCTCGCAGCCGCAATCGATTTTCAACTGTCTAGCGCAACACTTGTCACCACCCACATTGGGTCATGTCCCATGGTGTCTTTAGTTGTTTTTTGACTTTTGGATGCGTCCGGCTCGTTCGGACATGTTCAAAGAGTTGTGTTTTAAAATATAAATCTCTTAAGGTGTTTTCCTACATTTATAATTACTCCATGCCTTCATCATCCAATGCACTTACAGTTAAAGAGCTCCTGCACTGAACTTTTCAATGTTCATATAACATATTGTGTTATTTAATTTTTCAGTTAATATTGAGAGTTCCAAACATTAGTATTGTTTGTCAAAAGCTTGTATATTTCAAGTATGTAATATAGAAGTCAAAAGTAGTTGTATCTTGAAAGCATCTGCCGCTAACCGTAAGTATTATTTAGAGCTTAAAGAAAATGTAATTATTGCGTGTCTCAACTTTTATTTTTGCTTATTCTTTCTTCATTTTCCTCAAGTCACTTTCTTAATTCTCACATACCATCCAATAACAATCTTAAGAAAAAATTTGGTGAGTTCATAATAGCAACCGAAGAAAACAAAACGGTTATTCAAGTGTAAGGCCAAGAGCTACAATGACTATCATCAAATGGTAGCCGTCCCCATCCGATAAAGGACCGCCAAAATTCAACACCTCTGATTTTAAGTTTTAAGAGGTGATAACAAAATGTGTTATTTTATTGCAACACCCTTTTTCTTTCTCGTTTCCTTATGGAAGTTCCTTCATCGAACCTATGGAAGACAACAATACACGAAGACATATGGAGTCGGATGTTTGGCGTATAATGATTTTTTGTGTACAAGTCTAATACTTAACGGACTAGACGACATACTATATAACGTGTAAAGACGTCCAAAGATTTATGGAATCCTTAAGAAACAAAGTACAAAACGAAAAACGTTAGAATTAAGAAGTTTTTTATAGGTAAATCCCTTGTGAACAATTTTTATTTTATGGCCGAGAAATTGATAGTGAACGAAGCATTTTTAGTGGCCACAATTGTCGAAAAGTTGCCTTCTTGACAAAGGACTTCAAGAATAATCTCCTGCATAAACACAATACACAAAGAGATGAAACTTGAGGATTTGATCCTTTGCTTCAAATAGAAGAAGATAATCCAGGACATTGATAAACGCAAAAAAGTTGCCTCATGGCATTTGATAGATTTAGGGGCTCATAAGATGGTAAACTTTTTCCTTGATTTTGAGCATGAAAACAAGGACATTGTACTATGCTCCAACTCTAAGCATGATTGTCAAAGGTGTTAGAAAATTCAAAGAGGTTTGGGCTTCAGAAATTCTTTAAAAGATTATGAAGAAAAAGGACATCTGGCTATGACACACAATTTACTTCTCATACTAGTGTACTAGTGTGTATATTGCCACAAACAGAAAACCATCAATCGACTCATCAAAATACTGTTCGGCCTGCAACTCCAGTTCAACCAAAGAGGATTGCGATGTAACATAAAGAACAAGATTCTGGAAATAATCATCCGGAAACCAATTCAAGAGGTGCGGGCCAGCATTTGATTGCCTCGATAAATGTCCAAAAGTTCGGGAAGTCAGCAAAGACGTGACAGCCGCATTCTTCAGCCCCTTCTCACTCAAAACCTCAGCAACCGCCCACCTCGGCTTCATTCTCTTTTCGAGGCTGTACCCAAGAATCCAAGAGCACCGGGCCACGTCTCCTGGTGCCCACCCTAATTTATCAACCAGAAAATCCATACTTTCCAAAATCTTCTTCTCGGACAAGGCCATACAGAGCGGCTGACCCAGAAAGGCGGTCCTGATGTCGGATTCCGACCAACCGCACTTTCTATAAACTTCCATTTTGCGCTTAAGGGTCAACTCATCAAAACCAACAAAAACCCAAATGGCCTTCAAAAATGCATCTCTGGACACGACAAACCCCATTTCTATTGCTCGATCCACGTGCGAGGATAGCTTCTCTGGAGAAGCCACGAGCACGCGTGGCTGGCTCGTGACCAGCGATATGAGAGACGATGAGGGGACCCCACGGGCCGCAAGCATCGAGAGGTTGGACGAGAAGTCGCCGGCCAGACACCAGCCGAAGATCAGAGGAGCCCGTTTAAAGACTTGCACTACCAGCTTATCCGACCCCAGCAGGTTTTTCAGGATATCGTGTGAGGGAATTAATGTGTACTTCAGGCTGTACGATAAGACGCTAGGGTTTCGGGACAGCTTGCTGGCCAGTATGGGGAGGGGGACGCCAATGGAGGTGAAAAATTCGAGCTTGGGCAAGAGGGTTCTGTCTGGGCAGGCAGAGAGAACGTTCGGCCACCGGGCGACCATCACAGAGATGTCAGCGGCCGTGAATCCGTACTCTCTGAGGAGATTCAAGACGGCGTCAGGATTTTCAGGCGATTTCAGATGAAGTTTACTGGAGGCGCGGACGGCGACCTCTGGAGCCAATCCGCATGAGCTGACGAGGTAGGAGAAGGTGAACGATTTCCCAGGGTCATTTTCGCGAACACCTGGCGGTGGTTTCCCGGTGGTGAACGCCCTGGAAAAGACCGCATTTTCAGAAGCCCAAAATTGACGGCCGGCCAAAATAGAGAGCTCCGGTGAGAACCTGAATCGTTTTCCTCGAAGAATCGCGAACATCGATTCGAAATCCGATTTTGAATTCAACGGACCTGGTGAGCCGATGAGCTGACTAGGGTTTTTCTTTTTCGGGATTTTTAGAGGGAAAAATTTTCATTGATCAGGGTTACTGCGTTTCTTGAATTTTATGAGGGAAATGAATATATCGCGTTTTAACAAGAGCGCTTTTGACAACTTGATTTACCTTAATATCTTGTTTATGTGTTTGTTTTTTTTTTCCCCTCTAGCATTATCAAGGAAATTAAGGCAATTCTAGATAAAATTGGAGGGTTCGACTCAATTACACTGCAGTTATCGAGATTTTTATTGTTGGACTAACATATGTATAGCCGTGCGGATTTGTATTGATGCATAATAAAAAAATCAAATGACTTAACTGCAATCATTGGTATATTAAAATTTTACCGATAAAGCTAATTATTTTATCATCGCATAAATGATAAAACTATTAGAAATTAATAAGTTACTCGTAATTATGCAGTAACAAGTAAAATTGTCGTGTAGTTTTGCTTGATCAAACTCCATTTTGCTTCAGACGCTTTCCATATACAAACTCTGTATCATATATAACGAAACATCAAAAGTTATAACATAGGCTTAAACATGCAAATATGTAAAAGGAAAAGTGCTAGTCAAATAATATGACTAAAACACGTATATGTGCTATTTATATGATAAAATCGTGTCTTGTACTACAAAGGGCTAAAATGTAATTTTAGATTCTAATGTATCATAATCTTATATGCAATAGTTTGAAATAATTCATGTAGGCCTAAGTTAAATATTAGAATGGGCTTGTTCGATAATACCCAATGGGTATTGTCGGGTTTTGGCCAAAAACCCTATGGGTATCCCATGGGGTAAAGCTCGTCAAGTTCATCGAAGTTCGTGGACTTCTTCGCAGATATTATTAAAGTTAAAAACACATTGATTGATCACATATTAGGATCAAGATTGGTATTTTGCCTCTGTTCACAATTATTCTATTGACTGTAGATGAATTTCTCAAAAGATGATTTTATTCCCGCATTGTTGAGGCAACACGATACCAAAGTAACTGAACAAAGAACAAAACCTATCAAGTGTGAGTCGAGCTTAACTGTTCTCCACTTCTCATGAATAAAGAAAGCTACATAAGGAAAATGGACAAGACGACAGTTGATAGTTGAACTTGAAGATAATTAAACCAAACAAAAGCCTCAAAAACATGAAGTACATTCAGGAGCTGCTCGAACAAAATTGCCCGTAAATACTGATTACCGGGGTTCCAAAAAGGTTAAATAAACGCACAAACCACTCTCAACCAACGATACATCAAACTATTTTTCCTTTTAATTTTTTATTGCGAAAGTTCCAAACATAGGTATTGTTCGACGAAAGCTTTTATGCTTCAAGTACGTAATATATAAGTTAAAAGTCGTTGTATCTTGGAGGCATCTGCCGCTAGTCATTAGTATTTTTCAGAGTAACTTCTTCTTAAGGGAAAAGTAATTATTGTGTGTCTCGAGTTTTATTTTTGCTTTTATTTTCTTCATCCGCCTTAAGTTATTTCATTGATTTTCACATACCATGGACCAATAATAATCTTAAGATGGAATTAGGTGAGTTCATAATAAAGCAACTAAAGAAAACCAAACGAGTTTTTCAACTGCTAGGCCGAGTGCTACACCGACTATCATCCATCCACTCATATGGGAGCCGCCTCCGTCCGACAAGGGACAACCAAAATTCAACGGCTCTGATTTTAAAAGTTAATAAAAATGTGATTTTTCGTTCTCGTTTCCTCATGGAAGATCCTTCGATTGTTACCACAGAAGACAACGATACACGAAGGCGTATGGAGTCGGATGTTTGGCGTGCAATGATTTCTTGTGTATAAGTCTCATACTTAACGGACTAGACGACATATTCTAAAATGTTTAAAGTCCGGTTAAGGCGTCCAAAGAATTATGGAAACAACGTACAAAACAAAAAATGCTGGACTTAAGAAGATTTTTATTGGTAAATTCCTTGTGTTCGATTTTTATTTTTATTTTTGCTGAACGAAACCTTTCAAGTGGCGACAATTATCAAAAAGTTGCTTTGTGGAATGACTTCAAGAGTTATCTCTTGCGTAAACGCAAGCAAAAAGATGAAACTTAAGGATTTGATCGTTCGAGTCGAGTACGAGTTCGGATAGAAGAGGATAATCGAGGACATTGATAAACACAAAAAGTTGCTTCATGGCATTTGGTAGATTTAGGGGCTAATAAGGTGGTTTAACTTTTTCCTTGATTTTGAACATGAATACAAGGACATTGTACTATCTCCAACTCTAAGCATGATTGTCAAAGGTGAGAAAATCCAAAGAGGGTTGAGCTTCAGAGAATACTTCAAAAGATTATGAAGAAAAAGAACATCTGGCTATCAAACACAATTTACTTCTCATACTAGTGTGTATGTTGCTACAAACAGAAAACAATCAATCATACTGTCCTGCAACTCCAATTCAACCAAAGAGGATTTGGCTATGAAACACAATTGACTTCTCATACTAGAGTGTATATTGCTACAAACAGAAAACGATCAATCAACTCATCAAAATACTGTTCTGCAACTCCACTTCAACAGAAGAGGAGAAGAGGATTACGGATGTAACATAAAAAAAAGATTCTGGAAATAATGCTCTTAAGCCGACAAACAAAATCATCAATTAACTTAACTCATCGACCAGAAATACATTCAAGAGGTTCGGGCCAGTATTTGATTACCTCGATAAATTTCCAAAAGTTCCGGAACATCCTTCTCGTACCTCTCGACATAGGTCTTCAAGAAATTCTTCTCGGACATTAACAGCAAGGTCGTGATAGCCACATTCTTCAGCCCCTTCTCATTCAAAGCCTCAGCAACAGCCCATCTCGGCTTCATTCTCTTTTCGAGGCTGTACCCAAGGAGCCAAGAGCACCGGGCCACGTCACCTGGTGCCCACCCTACTTTATCAACTAGAAAACCCATACTCTCCGAAATCTTCTTCTCAGACAAGGCCATACACAGCGGGTGACTCAGAAAGGCGGTCCTGATGTCGGATTCAGACATGCCGCACTTTCTATAAACCTCCATCTTGCGCTTAAGGGTCGATTCCTCAAAACACACCAAAACCCGAATGGCCTTCAAAAATGCATTATTGGACACCTCAAACCCTATTTCTATTGCTCGATCCACGCACGAGGATAACTTTTCCTGAGGAGCCAAGAGTATTCTTGGCTCGTACGTGACGAGTGAGACGAGAGACGGCCGAGGGACTCCGCAGGCCAGAAGAAACGAGAAGTTAGACGAGATGTCGTCTGCCCCGCGCCAACCGAAGAACTGGGGAGCCTGTTTAAAGACTTCAACTGCCCCCTTATCCGAACCGAGAAGGTTTTTCAGTAAATCGTATGAGGGGATGATTGAGTTCTTCAGGCTGTGCCATAAGACGGAAGGAAATCGGGACAGCCTGTGGGCCAAGATGGGGAGAGGGACGCCAATGGACGTGAAAAATTCGAGCTTGGGCAAAAGGGTTGTATCTGGGCAGGCAGAGAGAACGTTCGGCCACCGGGTGACCATGACAGAGATGTCGGCGGCAGTGAATCCGTACTCTCTGAGGAGATTCAAGACCGCGTCTGGTTTTTCCGGAGATTTCAGTTGGAGTTTACTGGAGACGCGGACGGCGGCGTCCGGAGCCAACCCGCATGAGCTGATGAGGTAGGACAAAGTGAAGGATTTCTCAGAGTCATTTTCGCGAACACCTGGCGGTGGTCTCCCGGTGGTGAACGGCCTGGAAAACACCGCAATTTCAGAAGCCCTAAATTGACGGGCGGCCAAAATAGAGACCTCCGGTGGGAACCCGACTCGTCTGCCTCGGAGAATCGCGAACATCGATTTCGAAATTTGATTTTGAATTCAACGGACCTGGTGAACCGACGAGCTGACGCGGGTTTTTCTTTTTTCGAGATTTTTTGAGGGAAAAGTTCATTTTTCAATGATCAGGGGTACTGCGTTTCTTGAATTTTATGAGGGAAATGAATTTATCGCGGTTGACAAGTGCGCTTTTTGACAACTTGCTTGATTTACCTTGGTATATCTTATTATGCGTTTTTCTCCACTCTTTAGCATTTGATACCCACGTGTGATGCACGGGATACACTATAAATTAATATTTTATTATTCAAATATTGTTAAATTATTTAAGATAATATTTTGTAAAAAAACTCAATGATTGCAATCACTGGTAGGTTGAAGTTTTTCGATGAAGCTAATGATTTTATCATTTATGATAAAACATGATAAAACTGTTAGAAATTAATAAATTCATAATAATTATGCAGTAACAAATAAAATTGTTGCCTTTTCTTGCCCGATGGAACTCCATTTTTGCTCCCGAAGCTTTCCATATACAAACTTTACATCAGATAACAGAAATTATCACAAAAATTACGAAACATCAAATAGGTTATAACATAGGCTTAAAAAAGGTTAAACACACAAAAATAAAAAAGGAAAAGTAATAGTCAAAAACCCTAATTTACATAAGAGGCGAAGACTAAAAGACGTAAACGTGTTATTTACATGATAAAATCGTGTCCTATTTTACAAATGGCTAAAATGTAATTTTATATTCTAATGCATCGTAATCTTATATGTCAATTCGTGGTAGTTTGGAATAATAATTCATGAAGACCTAAGTCATACTAAGAATGGGCTCGTTCGATTTTTGGCCACACATTCACACACACAAACTGTCGAATATGTGGCCAAAAAACCCTATGGGGTACTGCATGGGGTAAAGCTCGTCAAGTTCATCGGAGTTTGTAGACTCTTTCGCATATATTATTAAAGTTAAAAACACATTAATTGATCACATATTAGTAGACATGGCCAAAACACGGGCTGGGTTCGGGCCAGGGTCATGAAAGAATGACCTGAAACGGCCCATCGAAAATCTAGTCCGGACTCAGACCCGTGGTCAATAGGTTTGACCAGGCTGGGTCCGGGCCCGTGGCCATGTCTACATATTAGGATCAAGATTGGTATTTTGCCCCTTTTCACCATCATTATTCAATTGACTGCAGATGAGTTTCTCAAAAGATGATTCAATTCCCGAGCATGCATGTCACCTTCGGCAAAGCGGAATCTAGCTCTGAGATTATCCGCATTGTTGAGGCAACACGACACCAAAGAACAAGAACAAAACCTATCAAGCGTGAGGTGAGCTTTAATGGCAAAACTGTTCTCCACTTCTCATGAATAAAGAAAGCTACATAAGGTAAATGGACAACAGTTGATAGTTGAAGATAAGTAAACCAAACAAAAGCCTCAAAAGCCAAATTAAACATGAAATACATTCAGGGGCTGCTCGTTTTGCCAGTAAATATTGATTACCCGCTCTCAACCAACGATACATCAACCTACATTGACCGCAAAAGAAGATGGACCCATTGCCAATCCAATCGATAACAACTTATCCATTCTTGCTCAAAAGATGCTGCAATTCAAACAATACCCAGCAAAATTTACCTCTCCCAACAACAATCAACCGCTAAGACATGAGTTTGAAAAACGCAACGTTTTTTTTCCCTTAATGCATAGGTTCCGCAAAGCCCCTGATCTTCCTGGGCAAACCGAACCACGTACTTCCTCATGAAATCTTTCTCCGTAAGGCAAAGCACTCAAGGCCCAATTTTTTTTTACCAATCCCTTGGAAGCTAAGTCACGAACGAGAGTACACCTAGGGACTATCCTCTTCTCCATACTGTAAAAGATGATGCTCGGGCACCTAGCAACTACCCTGGCCTCCCGACCAAGCTCCCGAACCACAAATTCCAAGACAGCAGTGATCTTCTTCTCCGAACAAAGCATGCAGTTTGAATGCTTCAAGAATGCAGACAAAATGTCATCCCTCGACCAACCCCATTTCTGATAAACTTGATAACATTTGTTCCACAGAGCCAAACGAGGCTTCCCCGAGAGAACGTACAGTGCAAGAACAAACATCGATTTCGATGGGTCGAAACCCATTTCCCTCACGTTCTGAGCCAGCTCCTTGAATTCATTGGGTTCAAGGGAAAATATCCCAATGCACTGAAATAACGAAAGCTTGAGGCAGGCCGGGGGCACTCCAATCTCCTGCAGATGGTTCATGTTTGGGATGACTTTGCTCGTGAGGTCGAACCTGAACAGAGCGCGGGATCCCTTCAGGAAGAGGGTTTCGGTCGTTTCGGGCCCAACAAGATTCTTGAGGTAATCGAGGTTGGGCTCGAGCTTGTGCTCCAAGCTTGAGGCCAAGAAGCAAGGGAATCGTGAGACGGTGTCGAGCACGTCCTTCTCAGAGACACCGACTAATGACCGCCGGAAAAATTGGATCTTTGGCAGAATGAACTTTTCTGGGTTCCACGTGAGTAACCTGGGTTGGTCCCTCACGATGCGAGAGATCTGGGGCTCTGTGAAACCTTGTTTTCGGAGACCACCCAGGAAGTCGTTGGGCTTGTCGGGCGAGTCGAAATGCACTCTCTTGGAGGCAGCAACGGCGTCCTTCGGCGACAGGCCACACGAGTTGATCAGGAAGGAGACGACGAGGCCTTTTTCCGGCGGATATTTGGTGGATTCGGCGTTTTGAAGGCTGCTGAAATTTGCGAGGTGTTGGCCGAGAGAGAACTGAACGGAATAGCGACTGAAGATTGATCGGCATGGTTGTGATTTGTACGGCGTGGAGAGAATTTAGTTGCGCCGGTGATTATAGCTTCACTAGGGAAGCCGGGGACTGATTTTGAAACCCTAGAATCCGCCAGCGGACGAACACTTGAGCTGGTGAGGGGTTAAATCGGAGCCTTCAGCGAAATTTGTTTTCTTCTTTCCATAAAAAAATAAAAAATAAAATGTTCATAAAACCTTCTTTTGTGGAATTATTAGCTTGGATACCTATTTTTACTAAAATTTATATCAATGAATAGGTAAATAAAAATAAACAAATTTAATCTCACTTACTATTTCATCCTATCTCACATTTTATCTACTGCTATTATAATACAACTAGTACGTAACACGTGCGATGCACGGGATGTAAAATTTGAAAGAATAATATAACCTCACGTGCATTAAGATCGAAATTGAAATCATTAAAATACATAGGAACATTGTTGAATCATAAAAAGTTCGGTAACAATCATATATTATTAAAAACCTCCTCGTACACAATATTATGAGTTTGATTATTTGGTAACTCCTCATTATCACAAACTAATATTTTCAAAAGAGACAAATCCTAAAAATCAAACTAATATTTTTGGTGAACAAATTAATATTTTAGGATTGATTATATGAATAAGGCTACCTGTTTTTGGTGTTCTTTTCATTCATTTTCATTCAAACAATCCGATGACTTGTATAATGAAATCCCAATCTTAAGCCGAAATATTTAAAAAAAGAGTTTTAAAAAATTAAAAAGTCAAGACAATCAGTTCAGATTAATTAAAGGTCAAAGAATATCCGCTCCTTGAAATAAAGACGCGTGCTAACATTAACCAAATATTGGGTTATTGATATAGAGTGGTTACTAAAAAATAGAACGCCATAAGGACGCTTCATTGAAATATCAATGAGATAAAGTCATAACATATCGCTATACATTTTAACGATAAAAGCTCAGATGAAATGATTTATGATAATTATGTCGTAATTAATGAATTTATGAGAAGTGTGAAAAGAACATAATTAATGAGAAGTGTGAAAAAGACAAAAACTTACCAGTTTTGAAAAATATTTAATGCAAATCCGACATTGACCATAATTTGATCTACTATTTTGGATAAATATTAATTCTTATTATATAAGTATAGATTTAAAATTAATAATCAATTATTGTTATACATCTAACAATATAAATATTCACTCCTTTAATAATATGATTTAAATCAATAATAAAATATTGTTATACATCTAACAATATAATACTCACCCTACACCATTTTCAAATATAACTTTAATTAATATTTTAACATTTTTTTACATTACATCAATATTATTTATAATTTCTACTATTTTTTATCATAAATAATTAATATTTTATTCTTTTTATCTTACATCAATTTTAAATATATATATTTTTTTCATCTTATATNGTCACAGACACACACACACACACACACACAAGAAAGGGAAAAATGACACAAAACGAAATCCTATTCGAAAAGCGTACATACTATATCAATATGTCAATTTATTAACTAGTATACTGCCGAATATGACATCACTTTGAGAGCAAAGACTGAAGAAGAGATATGTCGATTTATTAACTATTATATACACTGCCGAATATGACATCACTTTGAGAGTAAAGACTGAAGAGAATCCGGGTCGTGCACCGGTGGACTGCACGTGAAGTCCCGGCAAACTAATGCCACAACTTTATCCGGTGCATAATTGCTTTTCGCCATGAGGGCAATCTTGTCATTGTTCGTCTCCCAAAAGCGCATTTCTTCTGCGTTGTTAGGGTCCACATGGATAACCTACACCATACGATAGCATAACGGCACAAAATAGAATCAGTGTTAATCGTGTTTTTAGGACATGAGTCGAGCAAATCTTGCATTTTGGCAAATAGAATCAGTGTTAATCGTGTTTTTTTAGGACATGAATCGAGCAAAATCTTGCATTTAGGGCAAAAGGTTTACCGTTTTGTTAGGATCATACGATTTATGAGCAGCGGCTAACATGCTTTCGAAAAGTGAAGATGACTTGTCCCCGATTAGAACAACTTGCTTTCGAGAAGGGACATTTAACATGTCCGCGCCACAGCACATTAGGGGCACAGCCATGGCAGTTTCATTCAGCCTCTTCTCAAACACCGACTGTAACAAAAATAAATGGAAATCGTTATTTTATTTTCCTAACCCGAATCGGCGAAGAAATGAAATCATCAATCTACAAAAAGGCAATAGATTTTTTTTGTAAAAACGAATATAAGCTGGTAGTTTCAATTTTGTGACCATAAAGGCTATGTTTGGTATACACGAGTTAACTTAAAAGCTTTAAGTGAATTTCGAGCTTATAGCTGATAGCTTATAACTTATGTCTAAAAGGCTATGATAAAAGTGTTTGGTAAAATTAGCTTTACCGAAATAAAAATTTCAATGGGCTTATTTGAAAAGCTACCCAAGGAAGCTTATGATAAGCTCGAGCTTTTTGAAAAAAAAAAAAACTCGTCCTACGAAAGCAAGCTTATTAAGCTAATCAAATCACCTATAAACTAAGAGCTTAGTTTAGCATATATGCGGACAAAACATAGCCAAAGAAAGTTCACAGAACATACCAAAAGACGTTCAGCATTGCTTCTGTAATGATCTGAACTGGTGCTAACCAAGGAAGCCAACCGCACTAGATTGTTCAACGAGACAGAGTTTCCGGAAGGTTCCGCGCCATCATGGTCTTCTTTCACGCGGAGGAGAATAGAAGGATCCTCACCAGGGGTATTGAAATATCCTCCCCCTTCTTTATCGAGAAACAGCTCGTCCTTTTTTTTTTTCAACAAAAAAGGTACTCACAATTAAAAAAAAAAAATTGTAATGAAATTTCACTGTAAATTAAAGATCTAAAAGGCATTGTCAATTTCGCTGATTATTTAATGATTTTGTGTTTGCTAACCTGTATATGCTGTAGTTCAATAGCCCAAGATAGCCAAGATATAGAACTGCCGAATTCATAAAGGTCTAAAACAGCCGATATCAGAAAGGCATAATCGTCAAGAAAGCCGGGTGCTTTCGAAGGCCCGTTTCTGAAGCTGTGCTTCAGTTTTCGTGTCTGCTCGTCGTAAAGATTTTTTCGGATAAAAGTAGCTGCTTTCTCTGCAACTTCCATGTACTCTTTTGGCTGAGTGACAAAAATATTTTTATTATAAAATAAAAAAACGACAGCTTAATTCATTAAACAAAGATAATACAGGAAAGAGAAGCATAAAAAATTAAAAAATAAGAAAGAACTTATTACATGAGTTCCAACAACTGGAAAATAGAATTGAGTGCCTTCCGGTTCACCCTTCAGAATTTGAGATGCCCTTGCAAATGAAGAAATTGCAAGTCCATTCCAAGATACAATAACCTGGAAAAATTGCATGTTTTTTTTTTTTTTAATCATCACACCAGCGAAAAGCGAATGTACTTGAATTGTTTTAGAGTAACATATGAATTCTTAATACACTTACCTTATCATCCAAATGCGGCCTCGGGCGTTGTGATCTCACATCAAAAAGCTTCTGTTTACAAATCCCCAATATCTTCAGATACTCCTCAACCAACATACCTAATTTCGAGGCCATTGCAGAAGTACTTATTCGCTCGATCAGCACATTCTTACCCTTGAACTCGTTGTGGGGATCACTCATTCTTGACAAATCACAATTGCCCGATGGTTTTACGTAATAATGCTCCTTAAACAGCATTGCATTCTCTCCAAGTATGTCATCAACCTATTCAAATAACCTTAAAGAGTCAAATCCACTTTTTTCACTCACCAAAATAAAAAAATAAAAATAAATAAATAAATAATCTGAAATGTACCTCTTTGCTAGTCCAAATATAAAAGGCACCCTCTTTTTTCCTCGAGGCACCTTCGAACTCTGCACTATCAGCATCCTCGGCCGAAAATATCTCACCGCTAGGGCCGATCATCTCTCTCCTCAAATAATCGAGAATGTCCCGAGCCATGCTCGAATATAACACGTCTTTTGTGATGGCAAATACATCGAGATAAATATTAGCTAGTTGCCCTTGGTCGTATAGCATCTTCTCAAAGTGTGGCACTGCAAAAAAGCATGCCAAAGACAAGTAGACAACAATTGACTCAACAACAACAATAATAATTCCAAAAAAGAATTAGAAAGAACTGAAAAAGATAAGGAAAAGAAAAATCATCACTAACCGTGCCAACATTCATCGACGCTATATCTGTGAAAACCACCTCCGACATGATCATGTATTCCACCCCTTGCCATGGACTGTAAGGTTAGGATAACCATATTTAGGTCTTCTTTTGCCTCGCTCGTCATGCTATTCTCGTTTAGTTTCTTTGAATGGTAAAGCATGAGCTGGATTTCGACTGGTCTCGGGAATTTCGGAGCAGACCCAAATCCGCCGTATTTCGAGTCGTAACTGTCGGCAAGCTACCGCAAAAAATCGCAAGACAGAAAGTTATGTGCTAGAGAGTAGAGAGTAGTNACCCTAATAAGGAAAAAAGGGTCAAAACTTCACTGTAAGCTCAAATTTAAATAAACAGATGTTACAAGTAATGATGATAACAAAAACATAAATGCCAATTAAAACACTAATAGATTAAAAAAGAAAAAGAAAAATCATCTGATGGAAGATTCTACCTGTTCAGCACATTTTTGCAATGCCTTCTGGGGAAGTCCTTGAGGAACCTTATTGGATCTTGCTGTAGCTGATAAGGCTTCTGAAAGCTGTTCGATTGCAAATGTCCCACTTTGGACCAAAGCATCCTTCTTCGTGTCCCATGCTTCTTTAACCCTCCTATAAAGTAAAATCATCTTTTGAGTTATGTGCGCTGAAATAGGAACACCTTGCCAATAAAGGAAAAGTGAAAAGATAATGTCTGTCATTCCTAACATTTTAGAGTTACCTAAGAACTGTTTTGAAGCCTGGCCTGCCAAATTTATCATCTGGAGGAAAATAAGTGCCACCCATCAAAGGCTTCAGATCGGGAGAAAGGAAGACACTTAATGGCCAACCACCACCACCGTATAACGCTTGTACATAGGTCATGTATACCTGGTCAAATAACGAAAAAACCAGAGGATTGAGAGAAAGATTCACACAAAAAATGAAAGAGGAAAACAAATGGAAGAGAAAAGGAGGACTTGTTCGATCACAAACGACTCATATCCACATTCCAACCCAGGGGACTCCATTAATTTACAAATTAGAGAAGTTCCCATTTCAGGTAAACTCATAACAAATACGATTTACGACATCAACACTCTCAAATCCAGTTACACCCCAAAAGATAAGAGAATCGAAACTTTAAGCTGCTCATTTAAACTACAATAAGAGTTCAGATCCCATGTTAGAGTTAGAGTTAAGGTAAATTGCATTCATGAATGTGAACAACCTAAGTAAAGAAAATATAAGTTCTTGAACAAAAAAACTATCAAGCCCAACAACACCAAAGCATACCTTATCTACATCTGGCCTTTCTTCTCTGTCCACCTGTCAAAAAACACATTCTAAGATCACCAAAAATTGCAAATACAAGAAGCAATTCTCCAAGAAGTTGGGGACAGATCACCTTGATACTAACAAACCAATCATTGAGTAACTTTGCAACCTCTTCATCCTCAAAAGATTCCACTTCCATCACATGACACCTTAATTTGGAAAATAAAATAAAAAAGGTAACATTAACCACAGAAAACCAACAAATTACACAATCATTCAACGCACGTGCAGCTCAATCGCTTAAGACGAAGATAAAGAAGCTAAGAATAAAGATCATACCAGTGACACGTGCTGTACCCAACTTCAAATGCAATAAACATCAACCAGAAAAAAGGATATGTCAGCTACGAGCAAGGAAAAAAAAAAAAAAGAGGAAAACGAGCATCATAGTACAAATAGAAGAAAACATGGTATACTTGACAGGAAGATAGGCACATCCCTTTTGCGTGCTTCGGAAAAAGCCTCCTCCCCCCATGGATACCAATCCACCTATTTACAGCATCACAGAGAGCAAACAAATAAAATTAAACACGATATTGAATTAATCAGCAAAGTCTCTGTCGATGGGCAATAAAATGGGCGAATAATTTACGGGATTGTGGGCGTGTTGAAGAAGGTAAGGGCTATGCTCCGCCGCAAGACGGTTGGAGTGCGTGGGCCTCCCAGACGACGCCGTGCCGGAGGACCCGTCGTCAGCCATAGCGTAGACTCTGGACGGCGTAAAGGGCCGATAAAAAACCAGCGATAAAGGCCAGGAGGATGAAAATAGCCTTGAATTCTTGAAATTTTTCGCCGATTTGTAAGAGGGGTTGCGGCTAGAACGGAGGTGGCTTGATGAGGAGGTGGCCGAAAAGAGCAGTCTTCTGAGCATATTATATTACGAATAAAAATGAACCTTCGGGGGTTCGAAAAATAAAAAGAATTTATAGATTTGGTGATGACGATGAGCTTCGTGTCGGCACGTGGCAGGAACATGAGACAGTCGGTCTTTGTGTCCAATAAAGAGTGAAGAATAGGTAGCTGGGAAGTTCCAAATAATAAGCAGTTCATGGATAAATCAGAAATTGAATTTTTTTTTTATTATTATTATTATATGAGCAAAAAATCTATTTTGGATGAGATACAAGGTTCTAGACTCGCGTCCATTGGATCAAATCTATAGGCTGGAAGCGTATGTTTGTCGGTAAGCACTAGTAGAGTCGAATCCTTTAATAGCACATTCTATAAAATTTAATCGTACTTATATATGATCGTACGAACTTTTTTAGTGTTGGATCATACACACATTCAAACATTTTATGCATTTGAATGAGTTTGATCCGAACAAAAGTCTCGTGTTAGACACTTCTCACATAGGGTAAGATCCAACTCTCCTATAGGGTTTTCATTGTTCGGGCATTACTCATACAGGTAGAATCAAATTCATACTGATTTCATTGTTCAAACTCTCCGTTGTTCGGTAAATAATCCCATTACATGATTTTCCACAATTGATGCCATAATTCTGGATAAATAATCTCATGACATGATTTTACGCAATTGATGCAATAACTCAGGCAACTTTTACCGTTTGATTAAACACCTACACACGTGCATTAGAATAAGTGTGATATGAAGAAATATCTCGTGCACACACTACTCACACATGTATCATCCAACTCTTGTTCGAACTCTCCTTTATGAACTTCTGTCGTTCGATAAAGAATCCCATGTCATGAATTTCCACAATTGCTGCCACAACTCACCTATGAAGAAGAATATATATTGTAATTCATATGTAATAAGATTGAGATGTGAATGTTAATATGATCCTATTTTGACCTCTGTTTCGAAATAGTTCATTATTATTTTTATTTACATGAACCAAACATGGGAAAACAATTATTTGCTAAATTAGTTGAGAATCGATTCAGGACCCCCACATTGCTGTGCTGAGAACCACATACTACTCTCACTTTCCTCTTTAATAAAACCAAATTAACAGAGCAAACACGCTGTACTGATAGTTCACGTCGAAAAACAAATAGATAAAACCAACATTTAACTGGCCATGATAATAATTTATAAACTCTCCAGTCCAGGAGCCTCATCTACATTTTTGGGATGGTTTAATCAAATACAAAACTTCCTGAATACATATGTATATTTCTCCTGAGCAAATGAGGGCTCTAGAGAAGACATCAATAGCTATATGCAAACAAGGGCCAATGAGATATCTCACAGTTTGGGTGGGCAGAAATTGGAATTTGGCAACAGTAACTGGGCGAATCTGCAATTAAGATCGGATAAGCAATATTTTGATCAAGCAGCCATGGCATTTACAGATTCAGCAAGCTCCTCGAGTATTTCCTTCTGCTCTATAGTTGCACAAGACTGCATGCAAAAAAAGCATTAGTATTGCTCGTCTCGGAACACATGCCATCAAATCATTAGAGCAAAAAGTCGTTCAATTATGAGAATATATGAGAATAATAGTGTACCTGAACTGCTGTCTCAATGTCCCCATCCAGAAATGAAGTTAGCTCAAAATTCATTTTTAGCCGATGGTCTGTAACCCTACTGTCCTGGAATTTACGAGGAAAGGCTATATAATTATTTATCTTTTAGAGCCACAATTTCATAAAATATCCCTAATAAATCTAGCCACTGAATTTGGAAAGCTTTTCTGCGGGTTTCCACTCTTTAGTGTAGCTAAAAACTCTGAGAGGAGCAATAGAGCAAAATCTAAGAACAATATACCTTATAGTTGTATGTTCTGATCTTCTCCGAACGAGCCCCAGTACCTACCTGCCATATCACAAGTGTTGTTGGTTCAGTGCTCCAGTTAGTCTTTTTAAGCACAGAAATAATAGGATACTTGTTTCCGTTGCATTAATTTCATGATAAGGATATGAAAAGGTAATAGCCTTATGAGCAAGTAGAAGCACGACGTGGTACAAACGGTTAAGCACTTGCATAGATAGTGTAGGGAGTTTAAATATTTACTTGGGGCAATAGTGAAAAGGTTTTATTGGATACGGGGTCTATTTAAAGGGGTAATTCATTTTACAAAAACTCAAGAAAACAAATAGTGAAGGATATAAGATCACAAAGGTGATTGGCAGTTCAAAGGTAAAAATATAGATCATTTTTTAATAAGAAATATGGTAAATTTCTCTAGTTCCAAATGTAAGTGGACGAGAAGCTGCATTTAAACCTGCATTCTTCGCTGATTCCTCAGCTGCTCTTGTTGCTCTCTAACTTTTATCTCATACCTGAGACAGAGTGGCCAGTCAAGAGGTTAAAATCAGTTTATCAGTCACAAGCTCAATCTAGATGTGTGTATGCACAGTGCATGCACCAAAATTTCTAAATTTGAAAGCAGGTTCATCTAGGATGAATCTCAACCTTATCAGGAGGAAGATATGAATTCAGTTCATACTGTTGCTTACAGTTTTGCTCGCAATAGTTGGAGAGCTCGATTCTTGTTCTTAAGCTGCGATCTTTCTTCTGTGCAAAAGATTCTTATTCCCGTTGGTTTGTGGAAAAGATCAACAGCCGTTTCGACCTTGTTCACATTTTGCCCTGCATTATGAATCTGTGCATGAGCAGAAAGGAATAAAGGCAGGATGAAAGGAGATGACATTTGAACAGGTAAAAGATGGAAGATGAAAATTTGAGAATTATTTTTGATGTATAGTTCATTCCAAATACTTGGAGGAAGAAAAAGACACCCAGGAGACGTTCACTAAGTTTACCTCCAGCACCACCAGATCTAGTTGTTGTAAGCTCAATATCTTTTGGGTTAATTTCTACATCAACTTCATCAGCCTGACACCATAGGCAACATAAGAATGGGATGATTTCAGCATACATGCCAAACAAAGTAGAAACAGACGATGAAAAATAAGCACGATGAGGATATCGTCCTGGTATCAGATTAATGAATATTACGTGTTACTACTGCATTCATATGTTGCTGAAAATTTGTTGATCACAAGTAGAAATTGAGTAAAGGTTGTTGCCGAAGAAGCTTTGGTATATTCAATTAAACATGTGATAACTGCGATTTCACAAGCATTGAGCAGGCTTCAAACAAAATAGCTCTTGCCAAAATTATTTTAACTAAGTAACTGTAAAGTAGTTGATACTGGTTCAGGAAATCAGTGTAAAACACTAAGAAATGGCAAGGTAGACCGGAAAACCCCAGTCAAACAAAAGTTACCTCCGGCATGATTGCAACAGTTGCAGTAGATGTGTGAACACGGCCTTGGGTTTCGGTTTGGGGAACACGCTGAACACGATGTACACCCGACTCGAACTTCAGTTTGCTATAAACACGTTGCCCTCGTATCTCCATCACACATGTCTTATATCCTCCTTTTTCAGCCTTGAAATTAGAATGCTATTAAGCTATCTGCTAGGATACTATTATATGTCTTAGTTATATATCATAACACTTCAAGATTACCTCAGAGGTTGAGACCAGTGTGTACTTCCAGGAATTACGTTCACTATATTTTTGATACATGCGTACCTAAAATAATAGGATGAAAACGTAGAACAAATTAATATCATGTCTATAGATGTTTCACACAAATGATCATATTAACAATAATTATGTGTCCCAAATAACAAAGCAAACATGTACCTACAAGATCACCAGCCCAAATTCCAGCTTCATCTCCACCAGTACCAGCTCTTACTGTAACAAAAGTGTGATTTGCGGTCAAGCATAGAACTCTGATGAAGACTGTCACACAACTCTAACTTCATAATTTTAATATCATAAATGACCCGTGATATTGCTTCACGAGGTTATATGTGAAGAACCATACTAGTTGATAGATGCTAAAATCACATTTTATTATCTAACTCAAAATTTTAAAGATGAATGGTCTCAGACGTAAACCACTTTGGACCAGAGATATCAAAGAAGTGCAATAGTTTAAACGACATAAGGCAAACTTATCCGAGGAGCTAACAGTATTGCACTTGAACTAAATCTGCTCCACTTAATTATTGTAAAAGAATATGCGAGATCCAGGAAACTCAGTGACGTGTCAATATCAAGAAAAATATAAGTTTGAGAATTATTCATTAACCCACAATTTAAGTTGAAAAATAATTAAATTATTAAAAAAGGACGGCCAACCTTCAAGCAGTATGTTCCTTGCATCAAGAGGGTCTGTAGGAATAAGCAAGACCTGAGATGTAGAAAGAGGAGAGTTTAAAGACGTGGTAGTACATGGTACTTGATCAAACATTATAGTCAATAAACGAGGTCTAAAAACCTTTAGCCTCTCTTCAAGCTCTTTAATTTGTTTGGTCAAGCTTTTAATTTCGGAAGCAATCATCTCCACCATGTCCTCATCATTACCTGCCTCTTTTGCTAGAGCTGAATTGTAGGCAAGACGAAATCAGTCAATACAGAAAGGTAAACGTGGGATGAAAATTGTATGCCTTCACCGTCATTTCCTCATTTCTTGCATAGATTGTAAAAGAACAAATAGCTAGCAGATGGAACAAACCTTTTGCTTCTTCTAATTGCTTCTCACAATCCTTGAAGCTCCTAAAGGTTGAAACGACCTAGAAATTGGAAGATCACTACGAATGGGCTGAAAGACAATGCTCATACCACAGGAGGAGAAAGAACAGTACGTGGAAAACAGAGCAGTGGATATGCAAATAGCTGTACCTCATCAAGCTCTGCCAAAGACACTGCTAACTTCTGATACTCACTTGGATTTGAGACCACATCCGGATCAGCCAGTTTGACCTAGAGTTTGGTGTTGGTGGTATCCAAATCATCAAAATTTTCAAAAATTATAGGCAACATATCAGTGGCTTGTCCGGTTTGGAAATTGTTACTGATTTCTAGAACTATTTCCGAATGAACATACTAATAACACAAATACAATGTAGAAAGAGTTTCATTAAGTGAGATCTATTGCCTTAGTTATCTTCCATATATCTAATTAGCTAGAGAAATGTTTTGAAAATAAGCATAAGCCTAAAAAATACATCAACACCAAATCCACGAGCTACAAAAGCAAGAGCACAAAAAGCTCATTGCACACCGCAACTACACACAGCCAGAAACAAACAGAACAGTTTCGTACCGATAATTCTTTCCACGTTTTCTCAGCAGACTCCAATTTCGTAATTAGATACGGTTCCTGCTTTTCCACCGAAAAAACGAGCAATAAAATCCAGTAATCTTCATGGAAATTGAAAAAACTAGAAAATCAAAGCTCCGTAGTTCTACAGCCGTATCTTCTTCCCACGGATTTTAACTCATCGTTTCAATTATTATATCACTTATAATAATTATTAATTACCGCCATGCACACGAATCTTCCGGAAGGCCATCGGCGCACGGTAGGTCGAGCGTAGAGCAAACGCCGCGGAAGGCGGCGTCGGACGGGGAAATGCGCGGCGAGAGAGGATAACTGGGCCGTGAAGTTCGCCGTTAAACTGTTCATCCTTTTGCTTTAGCGGCTTGAGGTTTTTGGAAGGATTGTGGATAAATGCGCGAATTATAATCAATGTATTTGACCCGCTTTTTTGTATTCACGAGAATCGTTTTAGCGATTTACATTGGGTTATATATTGCGAGAATTAACAAGTTTTGAGTTTGAAGGGCTAAAAGCGTGTGGCTTGAGTATAGGCCACGAAATGTGCAGAAGTTCGGTTCGACTAGTTACAATTCGAGTTATATTCAATTTGGCTGTGAATTGAACTGAATTTGTTAAAAGTTCGTTCAATTAATGAGTCGGACTAAAAAATTAGTAATTTTATATAAATTTCTACAATATGATTCGTTAAGATTCGAGTTCGATTCTATTGATCAATTAATCGAGTTCAAACTCGATTACTGGTTCATTAAATGCTTGAGTTTGAATACTAGGAGCTCGAGCACGACTCGGCCAGTTTGCACTTCTAGGTGTGATTGTCACCTAGATTTGGACAAGTTTGTTTAGAGTTATTTAACAAAACTAGTCACTTATTAACTCAACATAGAATAAGTCAGTTCGAATTTGGTTAATTTATATTGATAAATCAGTCAGACTTCAACCTTGTTTATTGGCTTATTTATACTTCTTGGTCGTTTGAAGGGATAATGTTTTTGGGTAAAATCTATATATATATAATTGCTGGCAGATGCATTAAATAAAACATTTAATAAAACCTCATTTCGATTTCTCGCCAAAAACCGTTACAAACTTTATCATTTATATCTCTCTCTCTATATTTAATTACTAACAGTAAATTTAATCATATTAATTGTTGTTTACCATCTTTTTATGTTACAATCTTTTATTATTATTATTATTATTATTATTATTATTATTATTATTATTATTAATCCATCATATCTAATAAACTCTAAAATATTTCATTGTACTTTTTTTTGGGTCAATTAAGACAAAAACCGTTACATTTTATATTAACTGAGTAATAATTATACTATTTCATTGTATCATATAATAGTTATTATTAAAACTAATAACTATAGTTTACACTAAATGATATATGAAAGTTGCATAAACATAAAAAAATTATTGTAAACTTTTTGGTAAAATTATTTTTTTTACCTTATTTAGCGATTGTATTTTTAAATAAGTTAATTTATTTTAATGTTATAGTAAAATTCCTTAAAATCACATAATCAAATGTTATAAAAAATCTAATATTTTTAAACTAATAAATTGGCGATCTTTCAAAATTACATTATTTATTATATTTTATGTAATTAACATAGTGATTCATATGCAATTAAATAGTTATGTACTATTTATTTTAACCAATAATCAAATTTTAAAACATAATACCATTATCTAATTTATAATTTTATTATTATATGCATAAATATAACTTATAATACTCTATGTTTAAAATATAATATCATTGTATAATTATAATTTTAATACTATATGCATAAATATACCTTATAATATTCTATTTACATTGTGCAAATGCACATGGTCGAATACTAATTTGAGTAAAAGTGTAATAAAATAAACTATTCCAAATATTAAAGTTGTTTCTATTTAAATTTGACTTTCCAACAATTACATATAAATATTCTTCATTATAGAAAAATAGGAAGAATAGATGGAAAATAAGAATAAAAAATATAAATAAATGCACCATTTTCCCACCACACAATCAATGCACCAACTGCTGCTTTTAAGTTTTAACTTGGAACGCTGAGAAAGCAATAAAGACAGAGGGCAATAAAAACAAAAGTACTTACGAGTACCAAACAAAAGAAAAAATAAAAACAAATCTCCTCAAATTCCCAATTTCCAAATACTAAAATCAACGTGTCACGAGATTGGCTCACTTTCAACTACGGGTATTCACGGTCCGGTTTTAACTAAAAAAAATCACCAATTCGGACCGCGGATCGATTAAATGGTCAGTTAAAAAAACCTTAAAAAATTCGGTAGTTAACTTTTTTTAAAATCCAGAATAACCGGTCCGGTTAACGGATTACCTGCGGCAAACCGCCGGTTTAACCAGACCGGACCAATAAATATTAAAAAACTATAACAAATATATACATTCAGTCATTCACTATGACCGACAAATACAATACATTCAATATGAATGCTTTGCTCTTATTATTTCATGTGTAAAAACTGACTGAAAAATGAATGTTTGCTTGAGTTCAATTTGCATAATATAATCTTTATCATTTTTGTATTTTTATGTTTATGGGACGAAATGTGTATTTTTATGCTTATGAGACGAATTGCGTATTTTTTATTTCATTATTGTTGTTTTTCTTAATTTTTAGGCCCAAATAATTTTTTTTGGGCCCAAAATTGAAAAATAAAAATTAAGCCTAAAATGAAAAAAATAAAAATTGAAGGCTCAAAACAAAGATTTTGGATTTAACCTGTTAACCGCCAAACCGGACCGTCCAATGCGGTCTGGATTGTGGTCGGTTAAAAAGTAAAACCGGTCCGGTTATGGACAAGAAAAAAAAAAATAACCGTTAGATTCGGTTTGGTCATGGTTTTGATTAAAACTGGATCAATCCAGACAGTGAATACCCCTACTTTCAACAGGGGGCACTGCTGTATCGCTCAATGTATGGCCAAAAGAGTTGGTATCATGCAAATAAAATTAAATTTCATTCATTTGAACTAGTGCATAGCCCGTGCGATGCACGTGTAAACAGTATGACTTTCATAGCATGTAAAATTGTATTATCACACGTTCATAATAAATTTTGCATCTTATATTTTATGTCTTTTAGTGGAATAAAATCCTTCATTTTAGGGATCATATATATTTAATATGTCCAAATTTATTTACATATCGGCAATTTAAATTTTGAATTTGAAGATAACCTGAATCTATGATTGCAAAATATCGTTTAATAATTAAATCAGTCGCAACTTTAGGATTTGGTATTTTGAAATTTAGAAAAAAAATTAAAATCATTAATTTAGGGGAGATATGTGATAAATCTATCTAATTCTTGTATACATCATGTTTTACAGTTAAAACAATTTAAATATGGAGATTAAGATATTTTGAATCTCTGATTTAAACAAAAACCATAAAAAATTGGTTTGGTATTTTGAATTTTTTTTAAAAAAAAGATCATTAATTTAGAGGATGATATGTGATAAATTTAACTAAATCTTGTATACATCACGTTTTACAATTAAAGCAATTTAAATATGGAGGTTATTCTTATTTCGAATCTCTGATTTAAACAAAGACCATAAATATTTTGATCGTTTCAAAATTAGACCCGTGTATTATTTTTCATTATAAATAATTGTCAAACAAAATAATTGAATCAGCCACAACTTTATTCTTTTAATTGAAATTGCCCGATTTGACGGTTAGAAAAATGTTTTCAAAAGAAATAAACAAATGATTTTTTAACCCTTAAATTAGCCGTAATTTTTTTTAAATAAAATCTGCAATCAAAACATATGTATTAGTCTCTATCGTTTCGAGAAAAAAAAAACATATGTATTAGCCGATTTTATAGAAAAAAAAATTGATTTTGAAAATACAAAAGTATATTTTCATAGTTAGAAAAAATAACACATAATTTTTTTTATTATTATATCAATCGTAATTTTTTTATTAAAAAAAATCTGCCAAGCAAAGCAATTGTATTAGCCGAATATCTGGTTTTAAATTTGGAGAATATAATTGGCCGATGTTTAATTGAATTAGTAGTTGTGACGTACATTATTATTCAAATTTAAAAATAGCTTCTTGTAACCAATAATCAAATTTAATTGATGCAGCCCGTGCATTATTAGCTTTTGATATGCACATCGTGTCAAACCATCGCAAATATTCAGTAGACCAAATTTAAATAGCAGCCCGTTTTATTGAAAATAAAAAATAACAAATTCCTCATTTTAAGGATAACGTTTAATGCTATCTGTTTTTTATTAATAAAAATATTAAAAAGATACTATAAATGACATGTAATTAATGTTGATTAGTTTTGACTAAAGATTGACTTATGTTGATATCAAGATAAGGTATCTTGAAATAAAAGTTAGATTAAAGAGATCATGAAATCTAAACTACGGACCGGATCTCTAGCAATATAACACGGGATAAATGACACCTCGGAAATATCATCTCGGTTCTCATACGACGTTCCGAGTAAAACAGCAAGTCCTAAAGGTCGTCAAAACGAACCATTGAAACCTCGAAAAGGCCACCTCGGTTGAAGAACAGCTTGTCAGGAAGTCGTAGAAGATTGAAATTCTACCAAAATACCGACGTCACAATATGGTACCGACTTCAATCCGACAGAAGTGACGCTTGTCACACAGATAGAGGAGCGCCCATGCTCATCATTACCTAAAAAAGTTTGCCTACGTCATGGCCGCTCCTAAACTGTCAAATCTTCATTAAAACGGAGCCGATTTGTCTAGGGAGGTGTGCCAAGCATAACTATAAATAGCAACATCAAACACGATATTCGGATTCGGCAAAAAGTTATAAGTACATACACATTTATCTCGGTTTTCCTTGTTTACCGACTTATTGAACATTGAGAAACCGACTTCCCAGTTCTGTAACCGACTTCAAGATTTTCAATAAAAATCTCATTTTCTGCAATCTCTATTGTAATTTTTACTTTAATTACGTTGATTGTATCCGTTTATCAACATTTTGGCGCTAGAAGGAGGGCTTCATAAGATATTTGGAGTTAATTTTCGAAATATACACACCACATCTCAAAAATCAAGAATGTCGCAGTCCGGACAGGATAATCCGACAACCATGGGAAGCGCCGTTCGTGTTGTTGAACCACCAACCGGTCAACATAATCCAGTGCCTGTGATGCCGGATATCGCCACACTCATGCAGAACCCAGAATTTGCTCGAGGACTCACTGCTTTGTTAGCCCAAACCATGCCAGGGCCATCACAAAGGATACCGGGACAACCTTTTGCTCCTATAACTCCGGCAAGATTACAAGTTCCTCCCATACAAAGGGATAACAACAATCAAGCGGCATCACACGCCACTTCACAACCACGCGACAACAATCCACCCCCTCCACCGGTGAACAACGTACTGCCAGC